TCTTCTACTCCTGATGCTCTCCCTTATCTCTTCGTTAGTTTTCTTGCTCTTCATAGTGGCGGAAACCTGTAAAATAACTTTCATACCCTTGTGTTTCATCAAATACTCTTTCAACCTTAAATCTTGGTATTTGAGATACTGTAGCGCCTTGATGCCTCTAACTCTGACATTTGTGATGGCAAATGAATTGACATAACCCTTGAAAGCAGATTGTTCGTTGGTGGTGGTTGCTTTGTATCTCATTTGGATGCCTGTGAGTGCTTTGTTCTTGTCAAGATTGACCCATCTAATGCCTTTCTTTTCCTTCAGTTCATACTTTTTGTAGTCCATAGTCTGCCTAATCTTGTTGAATTTGGTGTTCAATATTTTTGATATGGGTTTTCCCCTTTCAAAGTTGTAGGTCTTCTCTCCAATCTTGAGTTTCTTGAGTTTCTTGAGTTCCTGTCCATTCCGTTTCAATATCTCACCCTGTTCGGATGACAAAAGATAATCTAAAACAATCTGCTGTGAAGTGTCCATTATAGTATATTCTATATTATTATTAGTGGATGTTTCTTTAAGTAGTTTTTCAGTTTCCATTGTTTGTTGAGGATGTTGCGGTTGATTGGATTGTTGTTGGATTAAGTTTTGAGATAAAATTTCACTTTTTAACCTTACACCCTCTCCCATTCTCTCCTTAATATATAAGGTGCCATTTCTTTAAGTAGTTTTCGGGTCTCGTTCAGTTTTCAGGTAATTTGGTTCTGGGTTGAAGTCCAACGCGAGAACCTCACGGTTGGTTTTGAAAAACTGGTTTAAAGAAATGGCAACTTATAGTAAATATAGGTATGAACAGGTATGAAAACGGAAAGATTTACAAAATAACTGACATTGGATACAACAAAGCCTATGTAGGGAGCACTTGCGAAAGTTTGAGTAAAAGAATTGAGAGGCATAGAGCAAAATACAACAACTATAAGACAGGAAAGACAAACAGCAAGATTTCAGTGTTTGATATCTTTGATGAGTTCGGTATTGAAAATTGTAAGATTGAATTGATCGAGAACTACCCGTGTAATTGTAAGGAAGAACTATTGAGACGAGAAGGACACTACATCAAAAACACTGATTGTGTCAATAAGGTCGTTCCGCATAGGACGGAAGAAGAGAGAAAAGAGGCGTCGCGGGAATACTACTACAAACATAGAGACAAAATATTAGCGAAACACCTTGAAAAGATTGAGTGTCCTTTTTGTAAGCGTGTAATGTCTCAATATTATGTTCCGATACATCAAGGGTCGAAAAATTGTGTCAAACAAACAGGAATAAGTAGCGAATAAAACGTTCTCAACAACATCATTTGTTATTGAGAAGGTTTGAGTTCAACAGTTCATCAATGACATCTGCTGTTAATACAAATGTTGGTTTGACGATGTTTTGATACATTGGATTTGGACGAAATGGTGCGTCCGCAGTCGGCACACTTGAAGGGTGTTGATAATTTCTTTTGGTAGTATTTGGAAAAGTATTCGGGGTCTAATGGTTTTCTGTCATAAGTTCCATCGGGTTTCCATCTGGTGGATGCTTGGATTGGGGGTTCTTGGACTGTTTCTGTATTGAGTGCTTCAACCATTTGGTCAAAGATGTCCTCATCCATTTCTTGCTTCTTTCCGTCAACTACTAAATAGCAGGGCATATCAAATCTTAATTACATAAGGCGGCTTGTCTTTAAGTATCTTTGGGGTGTTCTGTGTTCGCAAATGAGGCCAACCCGTTGGATGCTCCCAACGTCAAGTGCTGGAGACTGCTTGGAAATGTCATGCCAGCAAATATTTGGTTGGATTTTCCTCGAAACAATCAGGTTTTGAAGGCTGTTTCAATAGTTCATTGCTTCAAGGCTTTGATAGAACCCGTTTCCAAAATCTTGCATTATGACAAATGCTGGGATTGACCTGCTAATAGATGGTGTCCCTGATGTCTTCACAACCTTGGCGTGGGACGCATTCGGCAAGTGGAAAAGGGCAATTGGATGCAATTGGATGCTGTAAAGCAGTGAAAAGTGGTTGATATCATCACCAAACTTCTGGGCCTGAAGAATGCTACATTTGAGAGTGCCAATCCAACAACTGCGAAACAAACCAACCTTCAATCTCTGCCATTTCATTTCACTTTTGCTCATCCAGTCTTGGAACACTGTGCGGTCTGTCCCACCGGTCAATTGTGCAGTGCAGATAGAGTGCATCCCGGATTGAAGGGTAGGTGCAACCCCAATAAAAATCATCACCTTTCTGTGTTTTGCCAGTCTGGTTGGACACAATGCGGATTGCACCATCCATGCAATCCAAAAGTCCTACAAGGAACCAAGCACTCTCATTCACACGCCACTGCCACTTCCGCCTTCAGACCTTCTTCAAAAGGTCATGCACTGTGCGAGAAACTGCGCAGTAGCGTCGCTCCTCTGCCCGCGCATCCACATAGATGCAATGAGCGCTTCGGCTCCGCACCGCTCTCGCCACGTCCGCAGGCGTGAAGTGCTCCCTGAACCTCTCAGCATCAACACACTGCTCGAAGGAGCTATGCGCCACGGCCTTGGCCAAGGTGCGTGCCATCCTCACCTTTTCTGGGCCAAAGCCACCTTGTTTGTCAATGCCCAAGAAGTTCTGGACCTGACTTCTTTGCACCGCAAGCCGTTTGGACTTTGCTTCTTCCCATGGTGTCTCTTTGGCCTTTTCCGCCACGTCCTGCAGGAGATGTGGGCAAGTTTCAAGGTTTCACGGTTCGTTGATGTTTCGGGTTGTTGTCCCATGGTTTCATGACCCTTGTCCTCCATTACACCGATGTTGCCACCTGTGAGTTGAATCATGTCGCTCTTGTGCGTGGAGGCCTCTTCACCGCCATGATGACGTAGGAATTCCTCGACCTGACAAGGAGACGTCCATCTGCAAACATCCCAACCCATGCCAGAAGTAGCACCAACAAAAAGCACTAAAGTGATTGAAGGTGACTGAACAATTACCACATGAACTGAAGCTCTTCATTATGGCCTCCTTCTGCGAGAGCTCTTCACTCGTCAGTGGTGGAACGAAGAATCGGCGCTCACGACCGTCTGCGTCAAAAGCCATGGCTGACACTGCAGAACTGACCATCACCAGCACTTTGGCAACCTCGTCATCAAAGCCCCATGACTTCGCAAAGGCGGAGATGCTGCTCATCACATCTGGATTAAAGACACCACGAGGAACTTCAAGGATGATGATGGGTTGCCGTCCCATTTCTTGTTTGGCATCTCTCAAACCACGCACCACCTCCTCTTCATGGAGCACTGCCAACGCGCTCATCACCTTTTCCGTGGCCAAGTGGTTGTTCTGCGTGAGCTTGATGTGGAGCACTCCATTGTTCCACTGCTTCTCCTGGAAGACTTTCCAAAGGATGGTGCTCTTGCCCACTTCATGATTCCCCCAGATGAGGATTGGGCGGGGGTCGTCCAAGTCCAACAACTGGTGCAGTTCGTCCTGCTACAGTGCATAGTGAGCATAGTGCATCAAATTCAAAATGCCAATATGACATGGAATAACACCATCTCAATAACAAATCCCTTCTGTCAAGAAACACACAGGCAAACACAACAAAAAAAAAGGTGGTGCTTGGACGCCTTGATTATCTTCCGTTCAATCTTGACATGTGGCTCGCGTGCTTTGAAAGAGGCATTCACAATGATATTCTTCACTCGCTCTTGTTCTTGACGATGCCGTTCTTGTTCTTGACGATGCCGTTCTTGTTCTTGACGATGCCGTTCTTGTTCTTGACGATGCCGCCACATATCCCATCCAAAGGTCACGATGGCCAACGAGCCACCACCACCAACCAACCACTTTCCAATCTGCTGTTTCGTGGTCGGCTCCTTCTCTGGAGCGTTGTTTGAGAAGCAACGGTGGTTTCGTCGGCCTGACATGAGAAGCCGAAAACCACAACATCGGGCAATGAGGCAACGCGACATACCCATGGCGGAAATCTCCAGAACTGGGACTGTGCTGGAGCTCAAGCACTTTACGATTTCTTGATGCGTTGACTTGTTCATAGTGCAACACATGCCGCAAGTAGAACTCATCTTATCTTGTGAGCATTTGTGAGCCTGTCTGCTGCGGGAGAAAGCAATCAACATCTCTGGGTGTAGTGTAATGCCACAATGTGTACATAGAGTGTACATAGTGCCTCAAGAAACGCAATATGTCCTCAAAAGTGATGCTTCCATGCAAACGAAACAGCGCGCACATCTCATCTGGGCGCCCCCGACGAAATCCAGAAAGTCCATGAAGAAGTCCGCAAAAAATGAGGCGAAGCGAAAGACGTTCAAATCAAAACACAACCAAGAAAAAAACGCCACCAAAAAAGACGAGAATGAGAGAATAAAAAATGAAAGATGTTGAAAGACATGGAACCTTTTGAAAGATATCAAGTTGAATGTTCTGTCTTGAAACTGATGATAAGGAAACACAATAAAATCATACCCAAAAAAAGACAAGACATACCTTGACAATAAAAAACGAAAACCACAAGTACACTATCCACAGTATCTCCCTCATCTGAACCAAAACACAAACCCCAACAGCCTAAACAAATCCTACCCTCATCTGAACCAAACATTGACACATCACTTTAGCAACAAAATTACCCCCAAAACCCCACCTGAAAAAACATCAAAGGCGAAGATGAAACATTGAACCCCAACACAAAATCATAACAAGCAACATACAAACATATACGCCCTGAAACCCCCATTTTTCCATTTTTTTCCCAGCAACTCATGCCATTTTGGCTGGACTTGCCCGCGGAGTACACAATCCTGACCTGTCCCTTTGGACATCCATCTGTCTCCTTGCGCTAAGGTACCAGTAGTCCACACAGGACTGGAGATTTTTTGGATATGACTCCATCATACTCGATTTTTGGTGCTTAGCAAATATTGAACCATTCCCAGTCAGCAAAGTTTGCTGCTTTGCCAATCAATCTTTCAGAAATTGCTAAAACATGGGCCTGGCGATTTCGAAGACACCACCCTTTTCCAGTCCTCCCACACAAGGATGGATTTCTGGCGTTTCAGGGGAAACCACCTGAGTTGCACATCAGGCTGCTGGGATCTGCTGGGATAACCACCACACCGGGATGGATCAAAACCCCAATGAAATACCCATGAAATACCCATATGTTGCTGGGAGAAACTGCCACAAATTCCAGCGATTTTGGGCTTCACCAGGGGACTTCTCAGAAAACCCATGGCAACCAATGGCAACCAATGGCACATAGATGGCACATAGATGTTCAGACCAGCTGCCACTGTGGAAACTTAAAAACAAAAGGCTCTTTCATCACTTCAGTTGTCTCCTCTACCTTGGACAAAGGCTGGACCCTGGCAGAGATCATTGCAATGCCTTGTCAGCCACCCCAACCATGGGGGAAAATGGTTAGATCACGTAGTAAAATTAATATTTTTCCACGTGAAAGGGGCTATAATTTACCTATAATGGGTTGGAGCAACACAGAATATTGGCAGGATGAAACTGAGCAGGAGACGAGAACTCTCTTGCCATCTTTGTACTTGGGCAGGAACTTCTTCTCTGATTCTCGGCTCATTCCACTCAAACCCAGCAAGTCCACTCAAATTTACATCTGGCATCTGGCGAATCATTGGGATGGCAGCTGACCTGCGAACAAGCAACTGTCATAGACATAGTTGCCAACTTCATAGCCTTTCACAATTGTTCCCCACTGCATGCCCTTCAATGGCTTGTACCTCAGACATTCCGCAGATTTTCCGTTCCCAAAACTGGAGCACATGGGTTTGTTCAAAAATGCTAGTCTAGGGCGTCTAAAGTATACCCAAAAAATGTCCATTGCCAGTTTTAAGTTGAACCCATTGGATTTTGACCAACCTGCCCCATTTTCGCACAAAGCCGCGATTTAGCCGTGTCAGCCGTGCTGTAAACCGATCTGTTCGGTGCCTAAGCCTCCAACTCCTTGGCGTCAGGATCCCACTCCAGTTTCTGCCCCAGGTAGGGCAAAGTTTCTCCCAGCTTCTCTCGATCAATCTGTTGATCGTCCACCAGGAACTCTCTTTCACCAGGGTCCCGGTTCTTGTTCTCAGTACGTCGGACAATTTTTGGACAGAGATGAAACAGCTGGATTCGTCCAAAAACGAGAAACAGAAACTGGATTTGTTTTTAAACTGGTACCTGGTACCTGATCTGCTGGAGCATTGGAAATCAAGAGCAAGCTTGAGGTGTCCATCCAACGTTTGGCAATCCGCACAGTGCACCGTTTGAGGAGTTCACTCCGCAATCAGTGTAGCACATTGTCCACATAATTTTTCTCTCCAAGTAAAAATGCTGCCAGCGGCTTAGTAGCGGTTTCGGTTCTATCTTTATAGTGTTCAACTGCATCCAACAAGAACAAACGATCATAGATCATCATCGTAGATGTCCTTGATAAAGATCTTACATACTGTTACATACCTCATCTGATGATCCAAGGGGCTTTGTAGTAGATGTCCTTGAACGTCATGGGTTGGTTCACATCGAAACAAAAGCCGTCCGGGTTCCTCTCCCGTATCGCCATAAAGGCGCCACCAGGTACTTTGCTGGGTTGGCCACCCATGCTCCGCTTCCATCGGCCAGCTTGGCGGCTTGGCAAAGAATGGAACAGTACGGAGGACAACTCCGGCCTATGGAGAGTTGCCTGGAGAAGCTATAAATTTGGGAAACCCTGCCATAAAATATTAAACTTGGGGATGGTTGGAATCCCACCCATAAAAATGGTGATGGCTTGGGGATGGTTTCTTGGCTTTACCACATTATCATTAAATGCTTCCCCAAAGCTGAGCTAAGGCGATGGAGACTACGGAAGCTGGTGAATGTGCTGGCCACCTCTGAGATCATGGGACTGGATCAAGCATGTTCTGAAGATAAGAACATTTCTCGGGTAAAGAACCCCCCTATGAACTATTTCGATATGCCTACAGTAGCATAGACCTAACCGTTTTTGGACTTGTTTTTGCCAACTTCGCTAAGAATGGGAAAAGAAAAATTGTCCAAATCTCCAAACTGATCGTTTTTGAAATTTGTGCATGACTGACCACGCTTGCGGGCCTACAAAGCTGCGCCGATCCGTGTGTCATGATGTGGGTCAAAAAAACGTGAAATGGGTAAGCCCAAAAACCGAGCTTGCGCCAAGGCCGCTGATTAATCGTCATGTTCCCCATGAAAATTGCTGCCAGGCACACGAGCCTCTGCAAAAAGTAAAGGATCTTGGCCTCAGTGATGGGTCAAGTTGGATAACATATGGGATTTGACCATGACCAATGGGGATTCCTCAGCTATAATTGGGATGTGGGATGGATCAGGAGCTATCCGCAGGATGTTTTGGCCCCTGTGCTCCAGGAGAGCTCCAGTTCTCTGAGTCTGCCACGTATTGAATCTGAAATGCAATGATGTCCTCTGGCAAAGTCCACTCAGAATGCTTCATGGAAATCATCCTCTGAAAACTATCCGACTATCCTACCCTGGAACATGTATAATATATGTCAAAAAGGTTCCGTGTCAAATTCATTTAGTCTCGACCAAAACCTCAAGAAATAAACAGGAGAAAACCCGTGTTTCGGCCTCATCGGACATGCTGGACTCAGCAAGGAGGTGCTTCGGGTCGAAGCCATTGGAGAAGAACTTCCCAGTTGACCTCAGAGCGGGGTGGGGGAAGCCCCTGGAAACATGGCAAACATTTTTAGGAATCTGGGTACCCTCTGGTAATTTAACATAGCTATTGAAAATGGCCATTTATAGTGGATTTACCCATTAAAAATGGTGATTTTCCATAGTTATGTTAATTTACCAGAGGGTAAATTGGGTAAATCACCAAAAGTTGAGGATTTTCCAGTACCACCATGGATGGTCACAGAATTGCATCCCTGGAAGTTTCACCCAAAAATAGACCAAAATTGATCCAGAGTGCAGCTGATCAACTGGATCGAGTTTCCCCGGAAAAAAACATGGAGCTGATCACATCCGAAAGGTCTGAGTACCAGGCTTTAGAATGACCACTCGAACCTCACTCCTGTCCTGAACCAGCGACCCACTCTTGGCTACATCTTGGTCAATTGTCCAACAACGGCCGTATGACCTGGAACCCAATAGCTGCCCCCATACCCACCTGAAGGTCCATGATGGCATCCTCGGGCCGCTGGCTGCTTGCGGGTGCATCCATCGCAAGTGGTTCACAACCATAGTAGAGATGGATATGCAAGTAGAAATAAATGAATAAATAATAAATAAATAAATGAATGAATAAATAAATAAATAAATAAATATATATATATATGTGCGTGTGTAATTCATTTGTATGTATATATATATAATTATATATAATTATATATGTATGTAAGTAATTATATACGCACACAAGCCTCCCGTATCAAGCTGGCAACACAGGCCTGAAATGCGTCCAGCATCGCTGGATTGAGGCCATTCTCGCCATCACCTGCAGCGCCACACCAGCGGGGCCGAAGAAAGGCCCCAGCGGGGCCCCAGTGGAGAAATGGGGATGGATCGAAACCCATGAAATACGTTGAAATACCATGTTTGGGTGGGGTGAACATGATGAACATGATGAACATGATGAACATGATGAACATGATGAACATGATGAACATAAATTCAAATCCCAACTATTTCATGTGAGCAGAAGGGGATTCCATGGCGGTTGATCCAGTATCAACTCAGTATCAACCTATCCCTGGAGATGTGTTTTCAGCAGCGGCCTGCGTCCATCTGAAGTGTGGCGCATTGCGTGCCCAGCTTGTACTTCAAGCACTGATGTTTCCAGTTCTGCCAGATGGGATCAGATGGACAAATGGCTGGAAACTGGTCGGAAGCAGTCCGGCCTTGTGGCTACAGGATGCTGGTTTGTTGAAATCATCCACCTCCAAAGGCCAGGGGCCGCAGGGGTTCAAAAGATCCCACTTAACGGGATAGACCATTGACTGGGCTGATGATTAGTGAAATATGTTCAATCAATTTTCCTAAACTATACATATATAATATAACTATATATAAAAAAAGAACACCCTGTATAAGTTGTTTCCTGTAAAATCCTGCTGAAACTATGCCAACATGACAATATATGACAATAACCACCACCAAATCCTACTACAAGCCAAGATCGCGATGCCCAAGTCGACCTGTGACGTGGCTATCGGAGGGTTTGGTAAAAAACACGAGGTTTTATATGAAAACCCTGGGTTTTTGTTCATGTCACGGGAAAACACGAGGTACAATTTCATACCCAACAAATTTGTAGGGTTCAGACGCTTAGGGTATATATATAATCATATAAATACATGTGATAATGTGATGGTGCTAGTTGGTTTCATCATGGTTTTCTGGTGTTCATAATTTAGTGACCGTGTAAAATTGCAGCGAATCCCCCATGTGTGTTTGTTGGTTTCAAATGTTGTTTTTCCCAAGCAAATCCGTGTTTTTGTTGGATAAATTTTTGATAATTTATACCATCCATTTCTGGTGGAAAATTTTGGGGTAATCTGTTTTTTCCCGAGAGCCTCTGGGCGAAGGGTTCTTCTAATAGTGTAGGTCTGCTATACATTTTCATATGTTCACATTTTCATCACATATTCTCATCTTCTATTCTTCACATCTTCACATCCTCATCATCTTCCCATCTTCTCATCTTCACATCTTCACACTCTCTCTCCTTCTCTCTCTCTCTCTCACACGAAATTTGGTTCGGGTATCAAAAACTGAGGTAAAATTGCGATTTAACGTCCTCGGCGGCAACCCTTTCGCACGAAATGAGGTACGAGTGTCAAAAACTGGGCGTTTTTTGCGATAGTGGTTGGTCCGGCGGAGTGTCTGTGTGCAAAACGGGTTTGTATGTAAAATGATTGTCTGTAAAACCGTCTGTGTGTAAAATGTTTTTGTGCATAAAAGCTTCCGTGTGTAAAAGCTTCTGTGTGTAAACGGCTCTGTGCGTAAAAGTGTCTGTGTGTAAAAGCGTCTGTGTGTAAAAGTGTCTGTGTGTAAAGGTGTCTGCGTGTAAAAGTTTCTGTGTGTAAAAGTGTCTGTGTGTAAAAGCTTCCGTTTGTAAAAGTTTCTGTGTGTAAAAGGGTCTGTGCGTAAAAGTTTCTGCGCGTAAAAGTGGCTGTGTGTAAAAGTTTCTCTGTGTCAAGGTTTCTCTGTGTAAAAGCTTCTGTGTGTAAAAGGGTCTGTGCGTAAAAGTGCCTGTGTGTAAAAGTGTCTGTACGTAAAAGCTTCTGTGTGTAAAAAAGTTTGTGTCTGTGCGTCAAAATGTCTGTGTGTAAAAGTGTTTGTGCGTAAAAGCGTCTGTGTGTAAAAGCTTCTGTGTGCAAAAGTGTCTGTGTGTAAAAGCGTCTGTGTGTAAAAGGGTCTGTGTGTAAAGTGCCTGCGTGTAAAAGCTTCTGTGTGTAAAAGCGTCTGTGTAAAAGTGACTGTGTGTAAAAGCGTCTGTGTAAAAGTGTCTGTGTGTAAAAGCTTCTGTGTGCAAAAGTGTTTCTGCGTAAAAGTGTTTGTGTGTAAAACCGTCTGTGTGTAAAAGTGTTTGTGTGTAAAAGTGTTTGTGTGTAAAAGTGTCTGTGTGTAAAAGCGTCTATGTGTAAACGCTTCTGTGTGTAAAAGCTTCTGTGTGTACAAGCGTCTGTGTGTAAAAGCTTCTGTGTGTAAAAGTGTCTGTGTGCAAAAGTGTCGGTGTGCACAAGCGTCTGTGTGTAAACGCTTCTGTGTGTAAACGCGTCTGTGTGTAAAAGCTTCTGTGTGTAAAAGGGTCTGTGTGTAAAAGTGTCTGTGTGTAAAAGCTTCTGTGTGTACAAGTGCCTGTGTGCACAAGCGTCTGTGTGTAAAAGCTTCTGTGTGTAAAAGCTTCTGTGTGTAAAAGTGTCTGTGTGCACAAGCGTCTGTGCGTAAAAGCTTCTGTGTGTAAAAGCTTCTGTGTGCAAAAGCGTCTATGTGTAAAAGCTTCTGTGTGTAAAAGTGTCTGTGTGTAAAAGTGTCTGTGTGTAAAAGTGTCTGTGTGTAAAAGCGTCTGTGTGTAAAAGTGTCTGTGTGTAAAAGCGTCTGTGTGTAAAAGGGTCTGTGTGTAAAAGTGTCTCTGTGTAAAAGTGTCTCTGTGTAAAAGCTTCTGTGTGTAAAAGTGTCTGCGTGTAAAAGCGCCTGTGTGTAAAAGCGTCTGTGTGTAAAAGCGTCTGTGTGCAAAAGCGTCCGTGTGTAAAAGCTTCTGTGTGTAAAAGCGTCTGTATGTAAAAGCTTCTGTGTGTAAAAGCGTCTGTGCGTAAAAGCTTCTGTGTAAAAGTGTCTGTGTGTAAAAGCGTCTGTGCGTAAAAGCGTCTGTGTGTAAAAGTGTCTGTGTGCACAAGCTTCTGTGTGTACAAGCGTCTGTGTGTTAATGCTTCTGTGTGTACAAGCGTCTGTGTGTTAATGCTTCTGTGTGTAAAAGCTTCTGTGTGTAAAAGTGTCTGTGTGCACAAGCGTCTGTGCGTAAAAGCTTCTGTGTGTAAAAGCTTCTGTATGTAAAAGGGTCTGTGTGTAAAAGTGTCTGTGTGTAAAAGCTTCTGTGTGTACAAGCGTCTGTGTGCACAAGCGTCTGTGTGTAAAAGCTTCTGTGTGTAAAAGCTTCTGTGTGTAAAAGCTTCTGTGTGTAAAAGGGTCTGTGCGTAAAAGCTTCTGTGTGTACAAGCGTCTGTGTGTAAAAGCTTCTGTGTGTAAAAGCTTCTGTATGTAAAAGTGTCTGTGTGTAAAAACTATACGAAGGATACGATGCAAAGTATTTCCTTGTAATATTGTCTTGATACTACAGAAGACCTTGCTCCTCTACGCTCTCGGGCCATCCGTCATCTAGTTGGTGTACCACATCACACTGTCTTGGTCATCCACTCACAGTTGGGAGAAGCCAACGCTTCTTCGGCGCCTTCTCTTCCCACGGGAAGGTGCTGTACAAGGGACTCGGTGCAGCAGTGAAGCCCAAACCCAAAGGATGCGGGTTCAATATCCATCAAATGGATATGGCAATTATCCCAAGGTCCAAAGGCCACTCCTTTGAGATGGGATTCAAAATCAGGAGGAGGTTTGGTGTTTGGACGTATATCTATGCATATATGCGTGTCTCTACGTGTCTCGAGATGTCAATACATGTAAATCATATATATACATGCATATTTATACATGCATATGCTCGTTATGTTTCCCTGCTAGACCCTCAGGGGATCCCCACTTGCAAGGCTCCTCGAAAGTCGGACCCCGGGGTTCCGTGGCGTCAATGTCATGACCTTGGCGACAGAGGGCCCAAGGACGACCGGGACGATAGAGGGGTACCGGGTACCTGAACCCACAAAAAGCTGGTCACTTTTAGGATCCAAAAAAATCTAAAGCCATCGCAGAATGGGGGGTGAATAAGTTTGAACCCAATTTTGTGGTGCAAACCCATGGCAGTCCTCTTAACTCCGATCTCCGGGAGAAAAAAAAAACTGGCAAGTCAAGCTTCAATCAGCTCTTCCAGGGCTCCTTTTTTGGACGATGGTTTTTTCAAGAGACGCTTTGTCCTCTCGCTATCAGTGCGGGAGCATGGCATCGAACAAAGTGCTGGCCTTGGCGAACCATGGACCATTGCCAACACACATCCATGCGGTAAACCCAAGAATAAAAAACCTACAGTTACATAAAGGTAGAAGATATGATAATAAAAGAAATCATAAACCTATCATCTGGGGATGGGTTTTGCCAAGTATTTAGGATGGTTTGCAAATAGGTCTACCACATTAGTACTGTTCACTCAGCAGTGTACGTTTTCATCTTGGGTGTGCCCAAAACTAAGCCAGACCTCGAAACATCCGTTTCCCCTACCAAACCAGACCCTCCACTGGTGCGTTTCGAGTTTCCTAAGTTCTGCCTGTAACAATTTGAACCGAAATGAGATTCACCTTTTCCTGTGTCCAAATTCGCTGCAGATCTCTCACTGTATCCACTGAGGCTCCGGCTTTGGGATCAATGTCAGTAGCGGCACTTTTAACTGCATTCCAGAGCTCTCCAACAGTAGAGCCTTTGAAGTGCTCGTACCTCGAAGCAAAACGCAGTGCCGACGGTGACGTTAAGCAAGACCAGGATGATGGTAATTCCAGGACTATCAGAACAGCATCAACGTTTCGACCCTGTTAAGAAACTTTTGACCACTCATGACAGGTAGATTGGGGGCTTGCACCCTGAAATGCAGGCAAATCAATCGAGGCACATCACCAGAGAGTGATCCAATTTGTTGCAACCACAGAAGATGACTCTGGACCATCCATAGGTCTAGAGAATCAACAGTTTGTGAAATCGGGGATTCCTTAAATAAGTATATCTGTACTTATGATATATACAAAGCGTACGTATATTCATCTCTACACATTTGGAGCTCAGAAGCTCAGAAGCTCCACCAAGTGACACATCCGCAAATCCCTTCTGCCCACAGATCTCATCCTGCAAGTTCACAGGGATACAAGCCTGACTCAGGAGCGGCTGGGGCCCAAATCTATGAGTCAGTTGGGATCTACCTCCCAGTTTTTGGGATGGAAAATTCAGTATGGTTGAAAGTTGAAACCATGCGGAAAAGTTTACATACCCAGGGCATCAATCAAGCAGTGGAAAGAGGACATCTATGATGGGATGTGGCAATTTGTTGGGCCAGGGTCACAACACCCCTGGAATGACATGTGATCCTGAAAAAACAGAGGGCTCTGCAATGGAGTACCCAGACAAATATGTTGCGAGTTCCCTAGTATTCAACCCTGCAAATTTTGAGTGTCACGATTTCTTTGTGATTTTTTCGACCTATAGAACTCCTGAACTTTGGAAGCTTCCAGTTTTGATGAGTCACCCTAGCCACAGCCCGATGGGGTCCGCCTTGCCATCAAAGAGCCCACTTGATGGGATCCAAGGTTCAGGTTCCATACAGCAATATCTCTGGGTGGTTCCTTGTCCTGGGCAACATTGGTGAAAAATAGCCCGAGCTGGCTCAAATGCAATAGGGATCAACATGTTTGGTGCATATACGGTGTAAACATACATACATATATACATATATAAACTATATAATTATAAATATATAATTATATATGTATATATGTGTATCATTATAGAGATATATATATACATATATACGTATAAGTATATATATATATAAGTACATATATATATATGTATACAATTATATATACATATATATGATTATATATACATATATAAATGTATAATTAGATATAAATAGTTGTATGTATATATATATATAGTTATATTTACAGTACATGATTATATATATATAATTATATATATATGTATACTGTACAATTACATATATTATATAATTATATATATGCGTAATTAAGTAATATATATTGTGAATTGCATGCCGTGCAACAGAGGGTATCCAATCAAATTGTGATTCATGTGGCCTTATCGGCCCTAAGCGCCCAAAACTCCCACACAGGGTGGGTTTTACTTTATACCAACCTGGCTGCGCATAGCAGTCTGAAAAGACTGCGCTCTTTGCTTGTCACGGATTGGGACTTCGGGAGCCTGGTTGCTGCTTCACCAATCTGACATATATATATTATATATATATGTATAATTATATATATATAGTATAAATATGTGTATATATAGTATAAATATGTGTATATATATAGTATAAATATGTATTGTTATATATATATATATACATATGCCATTTAGCTGCAGGAACAAAAATCTTCTGAAACAATTCTCGCAACCTATTACGTCCGTGCATCCCCAACATGGATTGATTTCCTTTTGGTCAGACCTGTACCCCACTTGGCCAGTGAAACCCAGTCAAACACCCGGCCTGCGAAGGCATTTTCGCAGCTCTCAAGACATTTCTTGCAGTCTTCTTTGGAATGGATGAGGCACTGGTTGGACGGGTTCTCCGTGAAACTGGAATAGATGTAGTAGTCCAAGAATGGATGCTGCCCCTGCCACGGCTGCCAGTTTCGAATGGTGGATTTGGTTGACATCCCCCGATGGATTCGATTGGGAAGATCCCCTTTTGACCCATCCTGAATCCTATCATCGCCTGCCAAGATTGTTGAGCCAGTGCTTGACCCATCCAGGCGACTAACGCAAAGATCTGGCTATTGCCCCACCAAACTCCTGGTGGCGATTCTGACGCTTCATCAGTTCCCATCTTCATATTAAGATCCAATAATCCAATACTAAGACATGGCTTTCTGGATGAGATTAGACATGGATGGGATTGGGTTTCCACCTATCTGAAACTGTGTCTCTCATGCTTCACGCGGAGCCGGAAATTGGGTTTCCTTGACATGACATGGGGATGGGTCAAAAAGCCTTTTTCTGCCTTTCTGCTCACATCAAAATAGCTGGGATTTATGGAACTCCATCCCCAAAATCCATGGTATTTAGAGGTATTGATCCGTGGCCGTATTGCATCATATCACCACAATCCCAACCTTGTTGGATGTGCTGGGCTACCCGTCCTGATCCCCAGGGGCCAGTGCCAATGGATGTGGCCAGCGTTTTCAAAACGCCCTGACCGTGGAGTGGCTGGGGATGGGTCCATGCCATTATCCCATTCCGATTCCCTTCATATCAAAAAGCAACGACAAATTATATACATGAAATTTGAAAAAAATAGAGATTTTGAAAAAAATGCAAAATATATAATTTACATATATATATATATAAATATATATATAATACAAAATATATGCTGTCCCGACTTTTGTGATTTTGAAAAAAAATACAAAAAATAGAGGTTTTAACCATGTTTACCCCAACCAATTTTGGGGATTAAAAAACATGTTGCTGCTGCTGCACCTGCACATCTGGGTGCCAGAACTCCAGTGACACGGCATTGTACCAGGCCTTCACCTTGTCAGCTGAGCAACAAAAGTGTGGTCAACTGGGGCCCCAAAATGGTTCTTAGTTGAAACCTAAAACTGCCATTTCATGGTAGCTCATAAGTAGCTCACGGATGTTTAAGGGACTTCAGGTATATAGCTGTTTTGGGACCATATACTTGAGACAGTTGGGACCAAAAACAACTAATGACGGTAGTTCCAGGGACCAACTAGTTGGCTGAATGATGTCCAATAACATGGATGTGATGCCAACCTGAAACCCTAGTATCTGGGTGGTCAGCCCTGGTGCTGGACCCTCTCCATTTCAGGGCGGTGCCCACCTGGTTCTCGAAACCGTAGTCTCCCGAGGTCTCGAACTGGATGGAGTTCTGGTTCAGCCTGCGCAGTTGGTCGCATGTCCCTTTTCGAAATACACTTGGACCTTGTACTCTAGTACTAGGAGCTGTTGATAGTAGAACACCAATAACTATAGCTTGAGTCACTGTCATCAGGTTGCGACCAACAACCAAAGCAATGAGCTGTAGCGGTTTGACTAAATGCATTCGCAGCGGTCCCTGACAACCAACAAATAAGCAACTATTCCTGATTAGATTTTAATCGAAGGAACTCGCGACATGACTCTACCTGTTTGGTACAGGTCATCATATGGTTGATTCCGCAATTTGCAGAAACGCGGCTGAGTTTTGTTGCGATTGGTTTAAGGGAAACCGAGACCGTGAAACCATGGTTTTGACCATCCAACTAATAGGGTTTTTCCTCTAAATTCTCCCTTAAACCAACTATCATCCTATGATTTGTCATGATTTCTCATGGTAAAAGCATGTTGAAGCACCGGTGAAACAAAGAAACACCTTGGATTTCATGGTTCAATCAGTTTTTTCCTTGGGGACAGGTCCTGGTCCCATAAATCTCTAAGGGCACCTGGCGGGTGGAACATCATTGGCGAGGCCCGCTTCTTGGTTGATGCTTTGGAAGCCTTGGACATCTAGCGGCTAGCGAAAGTGGCGGATGCTTCAAGGGGTAATGGGTTAATAGTGGGATGATAGTGATTAATAATGATAATGGGATAATACTGGGTTAATAATCAATGGGTTAATAATGATTAATAGTCGGATGATAATCGGATAGTAATGGTATATTAATGGATATATCCTCCGGTGTCATCAAACACGGCAAGCTGGTTTCCCTAGGAGATGGGAACATGTTCACCGAAGTGGAAAGCCACCTGCATATAGCGACCCTGAAAGTGGATGACACCCAATGGGTTGGAGCCAGTCATTGGGATCGGAAACCTGGGGCTCAACAATTTTGGGAGCCACGTGGAAAGACATGTTGAGCTGGCTATATGCCTAAATTTGGCTGGGGTTCAACCCAGGTAGACCCAGATCCTGGCCTAGAAATGGACTGGAGGCGCTGATCTTCGCCATTTGTTGCCCAATCTGCACATCCACCAAATCCGAGATCATCTTGGCAGCTTCGTAAACAACAGGTTGTCCTTCCAGGCGGGCAGGGCATTCTTCAACCATGCGGTAGTTGATTTGGACTTAGATTCATGCTTGGCTATATAAAGATCTAGATTTAGATCAAATAGAGATCGATCAATGGATGATGGATGGGTGGATGGATAGATGGATTAGATTGGATTGGATTACAGATGATTACAGTTGATTTGACTTGATAAGATAAGATGGATATGTATATATGTGTGTGTGTGAATGGTTCAACCAAAAAAGATGAACCTTAAAACACATAAAATGGTGCATAATTATGACACCAACGACAATGTATAGCTGATTACTGTGATGGGTCAATTTGATGATGGACATCAACAAAAAGAAGTTACTCATAACGGAACAAGGACGATGGGAAAGTGCAGTCTTCATCTGTGTTTAAAGATTGACTCATTGACAAACAAACCAAGGGCGTTACCCAGTTCGTTGCGAGCCTTGATTGAAAGCTGGGCCGATGTCTCTGGAAGTACCATCAAAGTTTGCAAAGATCCTCTGGAACAAAAAGGGGCAACGGCACACAGTTCAAGTCCGGGGGGGAAAAAAAACAATGTCTGGATCCAATAGTGCGGAACATGTTTTTGGAAACATGAATGACAACTGTTTCCAAAGAAAACTAAAGTGGTAAACTCTAAGCATAAACCACCTCCTAGTTCACCAGAAAAGGGTGTACAAAAAATATCCAGGTGGTTTATTTGTGTGCTTGCCATATTCTATAAATCATGCCTCGCAACCATCTGATTGGTGGTTTCAACCGCCCTCGCAAAAATACCGACTGGTCAAATTAAACAAAAAGAAATGAATTGGTGACATGCTCATGTTTGCTGGCGAGATTCTCATGTTTTCCCATGTATATTTAACCTAAATCACCATTCTAATCATTTTTAACCCACTGGTATTTCAACATTTTCCCGCGGAAAATCACCATCTCAACAGGTAGATCATGAAACAAAAAACTAACCCATCACCAGTTCGTAAACTCTCAAATTACCAGATCTTCCCATGATATTTCCCATGGAAATCCCCAGTATTATCACGTTTTTTCCCATAGCTGTTAGTTATATTCCCATGATATCCCCATGATATCCCCATGATCTACCCATGATCTTCCCATGATCTCCCCATAGACTGGGTGAAATCTGCCATCCATCGCCTCCGTGCACCGATGACGTATGCGGGCACCAGTAAGGACACACCTTCACTGGCGATGGGCGACGCCTGCGACGAAAGGAAGTGCTGAACCCATCAGAGCTATATTTCTTTGTGTAATAATGTGTATTGTATGTGTATTTATATATATATATATATTTCTATGTAAAACATATGTATATATATATGTATAATTTTATAATTATATTGTTTATATATATATATATACATGTATGTGTAGTCACTTATTCTTATGTATACATACAGTATACAAAAACAAAAGATGTGAGGCCCGAATCCCGCCCCACCTTCTGGGACATAAAGAAACTGAGAACCTCGACCATTGACGCTGCCCAAGAAAACATGGGAAAACCCCAAAAATCCAATTTTATCATCATTTCCCCTATTTGAACTTGCCTTATTTTTTTGGTAAATCCCAGATTTCAAGTAGCTGCGCGCACTGGGGCCCCAGCCATCACTTCCTTGGTTTCAGGGATGACTGCTGACCCGACCCTCATAGAACCCCCCCGGAAAAGCTCAAAATGACCAATTCTATGGGCACATTGGGCCTATGACTTGATCCCCAAGTCCAGTCCCCAATGATCACCTTATCGGGAATGACCCCTCTTTTGGATGCTTCGTGACCTCCAAACACGCTGCCCAGTATCCGGCATCGTGGTCATGAGGCGTTCGTCCTGACCACCATCAAATCCACCGCAGCCTGACACCGAGATTTTCGGTAGAAAAAATGGCTGGTGAATCTTCCCTTACAGTTCCTCAACATCGATCTGGTGGTTTCACCATATCATTTGATGGCAACAAAAAGATTGATACTAAAAACACCTCAAAAAACTACTTTTCCTTCCTCTAGATAAAAATACGGTCACCCAAAAAGCTGCATTGCATCACTGCCGCCTTTTTTTTGATCCTGGCCCTGGCCCCCTGCCTTTGTGGGCCAAGATATAGCCACCAATCCAGGCAGCGGTGATGTCCTCGGTGCCCTAAAAATGAGATCCAACGTAGCTATGTTGAAATGTCAAGTGGTGGTGAATCTTGAAATCACTCTTAAAACTGTACATCCATGTGTATATAATGTGTATATATATATGTGTGTGTGTGTCTATATACATACATATATGGCAATGTAAATATGTACATGTATATATATATACACACACATCAATGTCACTGTATGTACATGTATATATATATGTAAATTCCGTGAAATGATCCCCAAAAACAGTTGGATCCAATTCTAAGTCGGGGTAAACATGGGATATGGGATCAAGAGTCTCACTTAGAGTTTTAGAGCTTTTGGGCTCATCTTCCCTGTCAAATCATCCTAGTTTGGTGACTAAACGGTGTACAAAAAGTCAGGGCCATCCTCATTTCAAGTGAGTCCAGCCCGTTGGGAAAGCAATGGATTTAAGTGCCCCTGGTTTTGAGATGCATCCCCATCCCACACTGCCAAAACTAAACCGACATGGTACCCTTGAAACATTGGATATCCTGCAGTTGCTTCCAACCAAAGGATGCACCCATTTTACAACGATCTTCACCTCACCTATCATTCAGCCGTGTCGCTACCATGACCTGCCCTTTCAGACTGTTTCCACTCCTCATGAAATCCTCGGCTGTCGTTCTGCCGACAGGCTGGGTGGGGTGGCAACCAGGGAAAATCTCACACGCAAAACCAAGGTGATGGCTCTCAGCACTTCAGAATTCATGGCACTTCAAGCCGAGTTCAACAACTTCGTAATCATTAGTAATCCATTGAAGCTAAGAAACAAAGCCTTCAAACTCTGAGACTCTAGGCCTCTTCAACCCATTCCCCCTGGTTTTACATGGGATAGCCCAAGGCGCCACTGGCTCGGGATCCTCCACTTTGCAGGCCGTCTCGGGCGTCGTCGGAATGGAGCTGGATAGCGGTGCGTTATTCTCGGAGCCATCGCCTGGGAAGTCATCTGAATAGTGGGAGAAGTAGGGTTAGGGTTAGTTACCAAGTATTGAGTTCTAAGGCGTCATCTTTAGACCGGGGTCAATTTTGGTGCTGTTTTGGTAGAAGTTCTATCAATCACCATCAAAATTGTATGGTGTGTCCCTATTTGGATGTGGGTCAAAATGGAAGACCTAGGGGACCACAGATGTTAGTCTAGTTTAGTATTCACCATCCAATTATTGGGGTACCTAATTTTGACCCATACCCATTTAACATTGCATTAAGTGATGGTGTTTCACCCATTCGTGGACTGGTACCACTTGGAGAGTTACCTAATGCGGACACTGGCGAGCAGCAAGCAGGGTGATGCAGCGTAATGGATGGTACTGCTCACACAGGGGGTACCAATGGACTCGCAAATTTCATCATTCCATCTATTAAGCTACTCAGCTACTCGATTCCGGGAGGAAATAATTTCGAGAATGGCAACCCCGTGGACCCAGTCTGGTGCTATCCTGTTGCCTTTGTGCTGCCAAATTTAAGCAAAAAAAGTGGGGTTACATGTTGATATAGAAACCTAAAAAAATAGAAAAGCAAAAAATCCTACTAAAATACTGGCAAATTTGGGGTTTACATATATGTATACTATATATTCCATTACAGTATGGCCCCCTTCACCATCCCCACGTTGGTTTTTCATCCGAAGCTACGGAAGCGGCAGGTTCGAAGTGGAACGTCGCCAAGGCCCACGTTCTTGGGGAGAAAACAAAGAGAGATGTGTCAGTTCAGTTCAAAACATTGGATGAGTTTCATCAACACATGGTGGTTCACCGAAAAATCCGAAAAGCTATGTGGAAACTCACCAACACAAGTGATATTTTTAAAGTTGATGGACATGGTAGTTGACCAGTTAAGCAACAAAAAATCGTGTTTATGGACGGAAATAACAGTGTCTGCAAAAAATGTGGTACAACGTGCGACTTCTCAAAATCGATTTCTTCCAGCATGTTTGGACAAAATAAAAGTTCCACCCCCAGAATGCTCCGCTTCCAGAAGATGGACCACCCGCCATTTCCCTTCATGTGGATCTGTCGCAACATTCATTACCAACACTCATCCTGCACTTGGTGCTCTCTTTTCAATCTGAACAGCCATGGTTGGTGCCACACTCGAATTTTGGACCCGTCCCCACATCATCTGTCAGGCACAATTCCCAATTGCATCCCAGGAATCGCAAATGGTTTATGACCAATTAATCTAAATATAAGTGTGGATATTCCATATATTCCATCATGATCCACTGATTAAAATGTCAGATTGATCACATATATATGTACATATATATATATATACATGTTCCACGTTTTATTAAACATCATTAACCACATCTATTCGAGTAATATCACTGGGTTCCATCATGGCCACCACTGTCGATGTCGATGTCGGGTGCATCGCTGCCGGGGCTCTGAGTTTTCCAAAGGCGGTGCTTTGGTTAGGTCATCCGTGCTCTTGGCCACGATTAGCACTGGACCTGGCCCAAACAGTGGCAGGGAGGTGTTTTGGCAGATTCGTTCACACCATCCATCTGAATATACATACATACATACACCGATGTGTATATAACAATATAGACGGATATATATATATATATATACAGTATATATACATGTCTCTCTTCCCTTGTTCAACTAGGCAAACAATACGCAGTAAAGGCAATGTAGCAACGGACTCATCGCTTTTCTGTCGGGGGCGCATGTCACGCATTTATACATATGGCTTACAAGCGGGGTACCATTTTCGAACTGCAAATTGGGTCGTCCCTACTCAGCCTTTGGGGGGTGTAACTTTGAGTTGATTGTGATCATTTGTCGCCAAATCTGGCAGTGGATTAGGTTGAGGGTTTTAGTTCTATAAATATGTATTGTATAACATCTATAGTTCTATAAATAGACACATATATATATAATCAATCATATATAATTATATATATATATATACACAGTATAACATGCATAGTTCTATGCAATTGGTCAACCTACAACCATCAACCTGGGCCCATCCCCAGCCTTGACTTCCCACCAGAGAGGGATCCACCGAACACGAGGCCAACAACCCCAGCAGCGCTCGGAGAAAGCCGCCTTGGTAAAGGTCGTCCAGGCCTCAGAACGGCGGCGGAAAAAATGGCGGGAACAGTCCATGAGACTTGCAAGATACCTTGAACACGTTGACACGTTGTGTATGTTTGTATATATTTTTGTATGTATATATATATATACAGTATATATATATATAATAAATTCCTCTCTATATATATAATTATATATATAGACAGCTTTGCGCACCGAGAAGCCTTGCCCACCCTCCACCCTTCTTTTTCTGAAAGGGCGGATTTGTGACAGATCCCTGTCACCTGGCCTGTCTGTGCCAGCCAGTTGCTCCAGGTCTGCAGCCATCAGTTGGGCTGGACTGCAACCCCCGCAAATTGGGGAATTAGAAAGAAAGTAATATACAGGTGTGGGTGGGTGGGACTTTCAAATCCCTTAGAAATCGGGTGGACCTGCAGAGCCAATACTGAGGCAGGTCCCACCCTTCCACCCAAAACATCAGTGCTAATCTGTCTAGCAGTTTGCTTCTCAAACTTTCAAGACAGCTTTGCGCACCGAGAAGCCTTGCCCACCCTCCACCCTTCTTTTTCTGAAAGGGCGGATTTGTGACAGATCCCTGTCACCTGGCCTGTCTGTGCCAGCCAGTTGCTCCAGGTCTGCAGCCATCAGTTGGGCTGGACTGCAACCCCCTTTGACTTCGTCGCGCAGACCTTTCAGCCCTAAGCACTTCTTGCACTTCAGGACGTTCAGGGATGGATCCGTCACAAAGGATATGTGGGCCGATCTTCTGGCGAAGGACCAGCCGCATGCCGTGGACCAGTCCTTCATGGGCAGGCTCCAGTCGGCGTTGGAGATGAAGTGGAGAGGATTTGTACCACCTCTCTCCGTCGATTTGACCCAAAGCGATTTTGCCTTGGGTTTCCCAATCTCCAGTTGTCCTGCAGCACGTCCCTGAGCTTTGGGCTTTGTCTCCACCACCGGCGTCATGATCAGCTTTGCCGGGGTGCCCGGACAGGGCGTGCCCGGTGCCGCCCCGATTTCTGGGGCCATGGTTGGACAGGGCCTGTTGGCCGGAGTTGATTCCAGTGCCTCCTCGGCATAGGTGAGGACCACGGCTGACCGCCATCTGCCCAGGAAGGCCAGCTCTCTGATTCCCATGCCCCGCCTGACGTATGCCATGGCCCCGGACCTCCTTGCAGAGTGGCCCGCAATGTCACCACGCGAGATGGACCTCCACGTGGAAACCATTTCCGTCTTTGAAGGTTTGTTTCCCGCCACGTTAGGAAACATGAGTTCCTCATGATGTCCTGCACGACGTCCACGAAGCTCAATCAAACCTTGTATGACGGCCCAGGCGCAGCCTCTCCAGCAGGGAGATTCCCCGCAGCACTGCAGCGTCCTGGCCACTCCCAAGCCCTTCTGATCCATCTTGGAGTGGGGGATGAACAACCGGACCGTCTTTGTGTCCCGGTTCCAAGTCACGTGCTCCCACTTCACTTTCGAGAGCTCCACCTCCCTCAACATCCAGGCCACTCCCCAGGCGTAGGCCCAGGCTCCAAGGGGGACCGCCGCTCCTGCGACACCCTTCCAAGCTTCTGCATGAAGTGCATCAACGTCGACTTCCGGCGCTCTTTTAATGGGGCCTCTGTCCCTGGCAACGGACTTTTTGCACAGCTGAAAGGTGCGGCCCAGCCATGCTTCCAGATCATAGCCGGCCTCCACGTGCATCAATTTCAATTCATTGAGATATTGGTCAGCAGAAGCCAGTCCTCCTGCCTTAAGGGCGGCAGCCACGTATTCCACCGTCTGCCTCTTCAGGGGCAGCACGTCACGATCTCCCGTGACCATGACGGCAAGCTTCATGACTTCCTCCCTGCGGGATCTTTTCACAGCGGCTGTGTTGCTGGTCCAAAACCCCTTGCTGAGCTCAGTCCAGGCTCGGCCCAGCAAGTCCTTGTTGCCGGCTACCTCCAAGGCTCTTGCGAAGGAACCCTTCTTGCCGTCCATTTGACCGCCTGCAGGAAGGCCATGACCCGCTCGCTCCTCATTCAGCGCGTTCGACCTCCCCACCCCGTTTTGAGGTGCCCTTGTCACTTCAGGTTCTCTGCCATGGTAGATCGGCGCTGTGATCTCGGGGGCCCATGGTGTCAATTTCCCCCTTCCCAGGATGCTGTCCTGCTCCCTTTTGCTAGGTCCCTCAAGACGGGCCCTGCGCGGCATGCCATAGCCCTTACCAAGTCTGGGCTGCCCAATTGCCTTGGGTGTGTGGAGTAGACGCACCCCTCCTTTCTGGGGGTGTCCCCCCTTCCCAAACATGATGGAGGACGGCGCTGCCTGAGAGGACTCGATTCCTCTCCCCACAAGCAGCACGGGGAACTTTCCGTTTGCGTCTCCACTGAGACACCCTGAGATGTTGGCCCCCGCTTGACTAGGGGCCTTGGCGTAGACCCTCTGGTTCTGCAAGAAGTCCTTGAAAGACCCGCGCACGCCCTCTTTGCCTCCATTGCCCAGCGCGTGCTTCTGTTCAGCATGCGCCCGCAGATGACGCAGGCATGGCCAGCCATCCAAAGTAGGCCGATCCAGCCCAGCAGGACGAAGGTCAGCGCCCATGGCCATGGCTCGGGGCCGTCGGCGACCCAGACATCGACTGGGTGATCCATGCTGGCCAGCCTGAATTTGCTGCGGGTGCAATCCAGTTGTTTCCCCCCCACAGAAAACCTCGAAAACCTCACCAGGGTCTTCAAGTGAAGGGGGGAAAAGCCCTCCAAAAAAAACAAACGGGGGAAAAAACAACTGGTTAGAACCGATTTTGTGACCCCTACCCCCCCCGCGGCTGCCAAAGGAAGCACCTTTGTAGCAGTCAGCCGCAGGCGTCACAAGTCTTCAAAAGCTCGTAGGGTGGCATCGGTCGTCACACCCCACAGCCTTGGAAGCACTCCGGGCGGCGGAAGCTCAGAACGCCTTCGGGCGTCTCCGTCAAAGTGGTGGATCTTCACCCCTTGCAGCCTGGATGGAACTTCTGCAGGACGGTCATGAGGTCGTGACAGCCAGTCTGCCTCGACGTTGAGCTGCCCAGGGATGTGATGTCCCACCATCTTAGGGATGCCCAGCACTTCCAACTTGATTGCAAGCTCCGCCCCGATCCAGTTGATCACCGGGGACGGACTGCTGAGCTTGGCCGTCATCGCCAGCGCCACCGTGCTGTCCGACTTCAGCAGCAAGGGCATCTGGACCAGCCGCGTTTTCCAGAATCGCACGGCCAGCAAGACGGCCCAGGCTTCCAATGCCCCCTGGGATGCCGCTTCCTTCCAAGGCACGCCCAGCCACTCAGCGTCCTCCTGCCTGAGGGCAATCTCCAGCGCAGCCCAAGGAAAGATCTGGTTCTTCGAGATGTCCACGCGGCACAGCACAGCTCCAATACCTTGTGGTGAAGCGTCTGTGACAATGGCCAGGTCCGGCATCACCGGGTACAGTGGTTCCGACCGCAGCAGCAAGTGGTCGGCTTGGGAGAGCAACTTCATGAGCCAGGCCCGAGGTAGCTCGAAGCGGGAGACCGCCACCAGATCCGGCTTGGGCCGGTTGTCTCCTGACCTCTTCGCAGCTCTCTCCTCCTCGGCCCCCGACTTGGCATCTCGCTCGGCTGCTGCCACCACCGCGTACATGATGCTCACTGCCCAACGCATGCGCGGCAGTATGCCGGCCACCCAAGACAGCTTTCCTGTCGTGGCCCTCAGCTCTTTGAGCCCTATCATGCCGGCACCTTCCCAGTCCTTCATCTTGGTCAGGAGCTCCTTCACCATGCGCTGGGAGATGGTCAGCTTCATGTGCTCCCTCGGGAGGTCCAGCTCAAAGCTCACTCCGATCCAGTTGACTCGGAGGCCCCTTTCTCCCTTGGCATAGGCAATGTTCACGCCCATCGCGTAGAGCGAGTACAAGATCAAGGCCAACGTCCTGTTCCTCCTCGCCGTCGGCCCCGCCAGGATGAAGAGGGGGTCATCCATGTAGGTCTGCACGACGCCCTCTCCCCTAAGGAACAGGCTTTGGAGAAACCTGGAGATCATGGCTGACAACCTGGCCATCAGGAGGGGGGCGGCTTTGAACCCAAAGAGGAGGGCCGTGTACATCACGAACTCGTCCGGCCTGACTCCGGGGCAGATGCAGTTGGACACCTCCATCTTGGACACGGGGAAGTGACAAAATGCATCTTGTAAATCAGCCCCTACCAGCTCCCATTCGTACATCTCCGCCTCCTTGTCTGGCATCCAGCCTTCCCTCTTCGCAGCCTTGATGTACTCCTCGGAATTGGAGTTCAGACGTCTGGCCCCCTCCAACACGTCAATGACCCGCGGAAGCACCAGCCTCTCCGGCACATTTGCCCTGGCGTTGCCGCCACTTCGCAGCAAGTCCACCACCACGCGATTCTTCACCCGGCCGTCGTCCTTTGTCTTCTGGATGAGGGCCATCTTGCTGACGGTGCCGGACCCGAAGCTCTCTGTGATCCACTTCTTGTCCTTGATGACGGCGAAGCCTTTCTGCACGTATCGCCCCAGCTCTTCTTCCGCCGCTTCAATCAGGTCATAGAAGCTGGCATAGTTGCGCGTGTCCCGCATCAAGTCCATGGGCGGCGCCTCACCGATAATGTTGTCCTCTTCCATGGTTTCCGGGAAGATGCCGCATGTGGGGATCTTGCAATTCATCCCAAGTGGCACCCCTTTTCTAATCCAATCCACAACATTGCACTCCGGATCACCTGATGCTCTGATCCAGGCATCCCACAGCTTTGCGTTCAGGGGGGATGTGAACTCGTACTCCTCCTTCATGACTATGTCGTCAAAGTCCTTCGCCTTGAGGAGCTTCTCCAGAGTTCTCGTCCACGCTTCTCCCACCTCCGTGTCTGGAGCGCAGTTTCCGCCCCCATAGTTCTCGGCTATCTCGATCGCCTTGGGGTGCTGCGCCAGGAAGTGCTTCCATGCCCGGCTTATGTCGGCCCCCACCGTGCGCACCATGTGCATCTTCTTCACAGCCAGGTCTGGATTCCTCATCCCTCCCAAGAAGAAGTCGTTCTCCTTCTCCTTCTTGGCTTTCTTGGAAACCTGAAGCTGTGAGGGCCCCAGGTCTTTGGCCACGTCTCCCGCCTGCCAGGCTCTCTTCGAACCGATCACCTGCATGTTGTCCTCGACCGGAGATGGGGTCTTGGCTTCACGGCTTCTGACCCAGTTCTTCTGCAGCTGGCTGAGTTCCATCGCCTTTGTCTGGCATTTGTACCTCCAGAACTCCAGCTGCAAATTCTGCTTGAAGACCTTGATGACCATGGCCGCATACTTCTTGGCCAAGGGCAGGGGGTACTCAGCCGCCGCCGATGTCCTGGACTTGCCCAGCAGGGTGATGTGTGACACCCATGAAGGGCACTGGCACTTGCCACTCAAGCTCTCTAGGCCCTGCAGTCTCCCGGCCCATCTTGCCGGCTTCCACCACCGCTGCTTCCCTTCCATGTGGATGCAGCTGTTGAAGTTGGCCACCTGCGCCTCGTACTTCTTCAGGAACTCCTGCAGCTCGGCAAGCTCCCAAGATGGCAGGTCTGGGCCTGACTCTGACCCCGGAGGGTTCTCTAGAGTGGCTACCTCCCCCACCCTGCGCCTGCGTTGACTGTCCAACACCTTGGCGGCTATGATGGTGGACCGCACTGCCAACACAGTGCCGGTGTCAGCCTCCCTCTGCTGAGCTGCATCATTGGAGGGCAGCCCATACGGCCATTCCCTCGACCGCACCGGTGGGGGTCCACCTTCTTTGCTCCTCACCATGGAGAAGGAGCCGCATGGATACCCACTGTGGTATCCGTCAGTGGTGTCGGCCTCCCCCACGATGGTCAGGAAGGGTTCGTCTGCAGCAAGGTCATGTCCGCCGGTCCCCAACTTGTCATACGAGGCGACCTTGATCTGGACCCCTTCCTTCTTGGCCTCTTGTTCCAGCGCCTCCTTCAATATGTCCCTGGGCCCAGAAAAGAGGTGGATGAACTTGAAGACTCGATCCTTCTTGTACTGCGCGAAGTCCGGGTCGCTCTTCAAAAGTCTGAGCGCCTCCGGGTTCCACTCGCCCTCAATGACGCTGGTGTCGTCAGGGTCCCAGTCGGCCTCCTCACCAGGCTCCATGGCCCCACGTCGCTTGGGCCGTTGACACCTGCAGCACGGGGCGACCATGATACTGTTCATGTATGGATTTGCCATGCAAAGGTTGTGCAAACATGTCATTCAGTTTTTTTTTTTCAATCCAGCAGCTGGCACACCTGAACCTGCCTGGAGAAGGAACAACAAACCTACCCTCAAGACAAACCCTGACCCTTCGTTCAAGATGTTCAGAGTCTCACCGGTTTCCTATGTTTGCACGTTTAATCAAACCCTAATGCCACAAGTTTGACTTCGACCCGGCCACCCCCTTTTCACTGAAACCAAATCGCTTCCGAGATTCCCCAGGTCCTGTCTTGACCCGGGTGCGAAAGCGACACAACGCAGCGTCTCACTTTTGTGGACACGCGTCATTGCGATGGCCAGGGGACAAACAAATCTGGCATTTGTGGGCCCTACGTACTTTCCCTTTGCATTCACTGCCAACGGGCACGTCTGCACAGGCCCCTTTTCCCTGGGCCCAACTAAAGCAGATCTCTGCCCCTGCTTTGTCCTTGGCCTTGCCCTTGCCTGCACCTTTGCCTCCAGCACGTCCATGACTTTCCTTCTGTGCCTTCAGCTTGGACAGCTCCTCCCTGTCCTCAACCCATCTTCTCTTGCGGGCCGCTCTTTTGTCGCGGTTGGCTTGGCGCCTCCTGTCTGTGTCCTCCTTTGGAGTGTTGAGAGCCTCACCACCGCCTGCAAGATGGGTAGAAGCTATAGTTTCTGCTGGTGCCAGTAGAGCTCCACGACCTCCAGCGGCCAGCCATGCTGAAGCGGGGTGCCTCACCTGTTCCGACCAGAAGGTGTCATCCTTGGCCAGAAGGGAGAAGCACACGGACCAAGGGCTATCAGGATTCCAGCCCGGTGGCACGTCTCTCCCCGATCCATGGTCTGCAACAAGTCCACGACGGATCTTCTCCAAGCGCTCCGCCCTGGCCTTGTCGTCCGCCAAGGCTATCAGCCCCCAAGCTTGAGGCCAGTGCAATGTCAACCTCTCCACCGTCTTCTCATACTGCTGGAGGGACGCCAAGGAGATAATGCCCAGGGATATTGCAGCGACCTTGAACACCCTCCAAGACGCCATCCACTGTTGTAGATTCTGAGGTCCAGGAAGTTCTTTGGCTAAGAAGCTGCCATCCCCCAAGGGCACAAACGTGCGAAACTTCTGGCTCCTCAGCGCCCTCCTTCCGAATGGCGTCCAAACGCTGAAGTCAGTGTAAGGAGCCTGCTTGAGCACCACTGTACGTTTGTACAAAGCTGCAAGCTGAGCATCGGTCGCCTCTTCCTCCTCTTCCGGGGGGGACCCCATGGTGGTGATGTAACGTTGTATCCACTCCTGCACCTTGTCCGGGGCCGCTGGTATCAACTCGGACTCATCTGACTGGTCCACAAGGGAAGCCATCTTGAGGACATGCTCCTTAACTCCCGTCGCTTTTGTAGTCCCATCAGGTACTGCAGGATGTCCCTGAGATGAAGAACCAGGATCGTTCCACGGCTCTATGTCGATGAACTCTTCTTCTGCACCTCCGTTCTTGACGAACATAGCTTTGCGGCAGACTCGCCATACCAGCCCCACTTGCGTGGCATTGATAGGGTTGAACATCGTGCCATCAGGGAACTGGGCGGCCGAGCAGGCCTGCGACACGATGAATGCTGGCAACGCCGCCAGGAAGGCAATGCTCGTCCCGGGATCCCCCACTTGACCGATGAAGGCCGTCCAAACCGCCTGGGGGATCCCAACCAAATCACGGATGCCCTGCAGGTCGATCACGCCGATGAGATCCGCAGCCGGTGGCAACATCATGCCCGCGCGAGTCCCATTGACATGATACTTTCAAATCCCTTAGAAATCGGGTGGACCTGCAGAGCCAATACTGAGGCAGGTCCCACCCTTCCACCCAAAACATCAGTGCTAATCTGTCTAGCAGTTTGCTTCTCAAACTTTCAATATATATATGTTATATATACATACATACACACAACATCTGTGTTGTAAATGGAAAGCCTCTATGAAACATTGCTGGCGGACCCACAAAGGCGCCGACATTTGCCCGGAGGTATCAGCCGACTCAGGCCGCTGTCATAGTCCGGCGCCACGTTGCCAGAGGCGACCAGGGCTGCGATGTAACAAACCTCGGTGGGCGAAGGCGAACCGAAGGACCCTGGATGCGGTAAGCCGTATATAACTTATATAACCCAATCAAGGACCAACAGGTGGGATTTTTCCAGATGTTTCCACTATTTCAGGATGGTACTTTTTGATTTCTTTTTGGGCGTTGCTATAACCGGGTGACCTGAGCGCAGTATTTCTCATCTATCCCGGCACTCGACCGATTAGACTGGGACGGTCCCCTTGAAATTGTATCCCAGTTCCAAGGCCCAAAGAAAGGGTTCATTTGGCACCAAGAAGTCCTATCCCTTCCATTCTTCTCCATGGTTTTTACTATTTTTACTTGTATAAGTGAACTCTTTTCAAAATCTTAAACTTACATTTGTTCGATCTTGTTCCTTAGTGATTCCCCCCAAGAAAACCTCAAATCAGCATAGCTTTGGCTGAAGCATCAACTGACAAGGCACCTGTTTTCGGGTGTACACCACATACTGACCCCAGTCCAGCTGATCACTCGAAGTTTGACCTGTCTACAGTTTGCCACAAAGATGTGTAGTTGCTCTGCCCTTGGTACCTACCAATCTGTTTTGCAAGCATGAAAACGCAGACATGTTCGCCTCCGGATCCCCAAAACCTACCGTGAACATTCACACGTGATCTCTCATTGTTTGACCTTCTATGACTTATATGGTTTACCCCAATCCATCATTCAACCCCAGTAAAATGGCAATTTGGCCCCATAGTTGGAGATACCCAAATGTATCAAGTTGGTGAGTTATATTTCATGTTGTATATCCCATCGCCATTACATCCATGGTACACCCGTGCCGCAAAGCCTGCTGGAATCTTCACGGAACCTTTCCTCGGGTAAAAAATAACCAGAATGTCGTGGTTTTTTTACATGGATTTTTCCATGGATTTTTGGGGTGCCCCATGTCTGAACAAACCCAAATAGAACTTTGGGCGCGTCGAGAGGTTGAGTTCATGTCTGTCTCGATGATCTTTGAAATCGTCAAAAGGGGGTTGAAGATGATTGTGTCTATCTTCAACAACCACGAATCCCCCAAAAATGGGACTTGGTGATTGATTTATTCCCTGCTAAAGCTTTAACTTTCAGTGCATTTTACATATCATAAAGTTGTGTATTAGAATCCAAGGAAATTGCCCAACGTTACCATTCCATGTGCCATCTTTCGCCAAAGTTCGCACCACCAAAGGGTGAAGGATCCGCCAAGAGCTCTGCAGTGTAGTCGCTTAGGCTTTGGGCTGTCACCGGTCCACTGCCCTCATCAAAGTTCACCTCATGGGATATTTCCAGCCATCTGTAAAGAATTGGTAAAATGGATTCCTGTATAATTTCACTAGCTCATAAATTGGTTGAAAAGGATTTCCTTAAAATGGGATACCGCCAATTCTGGGGCACCAATTGTCATGATGCTTCCTTTTCGGCAATTTAGGCGATGCATGGCGATGCTGATAGTTTATATGACCCATTTGGGGGACCGCAGATGAACTCCCTGACTTGTGGACGCGGAAGTTACAGTTGCACAGACCACCGCTCACTTGTCTCTGCATGACAAGTTACATTGAGGTTTGGCCACACACGATCAATATCAGATTTGAGCACACGATCATGACTCAGCTCAAAGGTGATTTCTGTGGCGCCAGCTGAGCCTAGGTGTGGTCTATGGTGTCACGGTGTCGCTTCAGAGCTCGGGACCATTTTCAACTTGGCAGTTGATTGTCACTGAGTCCATCATCTGAGATGTTGCAGCTTCAAAATGCAGCAGGGCCACTATAGAAGCTTCCTCCAGAGGTATCAAGCTCTAGCAACTCCTTCAGTGATGGATTTCAGAGTTCCGTGGGTGCAGGTTCCTCTCTCTCTCTCGCTCTTTCTTGCTCCAGAACTAGATTGATGCGTGACAAGTCATTGCTCAACCCGAGAATTGGAGGGTTTCATACCAGACCCAGGCAATCTCTGGATCAGAATTGAGCTACACTTTGGGGATGCAATTTCAAGTAGCAGATGGGTATTTGTCGCCATAATTATAGGAGTTAAGTTGGGACAAAATCGCCCAAAATTTGATTCTTGATCATAATTTTCCCAGTATTTTCCCTATGAAAAATATGAAAATTGTGAAAAAAAAACGTGTTGGTGATATAACCTATTTCCAAACAAACCCATTTAATCCCATTTCTAACCCTGCGCCCCAAACACGAAATAGCCATGACCCTGCAAGCCTTTGAAGGGTCTTTAAGCATAGACCTGTCCAGACGTAAGAAAGCAGCAACTTTGAGGTTCTAAACATCATGGGGTATTGACCACCAATGGAACCACAGTTTTTGCTATTTGTTGCAATAACCCATGTTTCGTTACTTGGGCAAGTCATGTTGAGCCATGCGTCAGTAACGTCTCAAAAATTGTGGACACATTTTGAGTCACCATTTGTATAATTGGTAGTTCCCCTTAAATATCATAGGATGGCCTTCTGAAAATAGAGATACCCTTATCAGCCTTATCACCAATGGTTTCCATCCTTTTTGCTGGTTGTTGGTTCTTGCCATCTTAGGAAATCACCGTTTTTTCAAATCAAAAATCTCTACAGTGCCTCCAGTGACGACCGCACCAAGCACTCACAGTGAAAAGCACTGCTCCCAGGACGGCTGGCCGAAGGACTCGCGCCTGGAAACTCTGAGAAATCGACAGGAAGCCATGGTGTTTTCACCCATTTTTTCCCACCAATGAAAGTGGTAAACCCAATGCCATAAATCCCCAAAATCACCATAAATGCACGGTATAAACCATCCCCAAATGGTCGGTTTGTTCTTGTGTTTACCACATAATAGGGGTTTCCTGTAGATGTTCAACCAATCCAATGACATTGGTACTGAGCCCCATTTTCGGACAAACCCAACCTTCCCTTCCTGCATGGGCTGGTCCAAAATGAGGGATCCCTCAAATCAAACGATGTAGAACCTCCTTTTGCTTGTCCCTTTCCCGATATAAATGGCCATAATTTGGGGTATGCCCCCATTGTTTCTGGACGAACCCGTATCTCAAAGCCCAATGTCATGGCCAACTTGCCTTCACAGGTGTCTCATGTTGAGAGAGGAGCGCTTCCTCATCTGTTGAAGACTCCATCGAAATCAATCTTCAGCCTCGGAAGAATGACTATCGAACAAACTTATCAAACCTGGCTGAATCTGCCTGTTCCCAATAGATGGGGGAACCCTTAACTTTTCTGAGATTTACTAGTAGTGGCAATGCTATAAAATCGACCAGTTTCATCCAATTTGGTGTTTTTGAACCCCCAACTTTTTTGGATCCCATTCCATATTATCACATCAAGTCCCCATTTACAGCACACCCGCTGGATTTCCTGAGACCCTGACGGCCTACGGGTTGTTTCCGCCCATCTCAGACCCCACCCTTGAGCCAAGAACGCCATGGTCTCGTCATGGTCAAAGGTGAACAAATGCAGAATGGCATGAGTCTGGAGGGGAAATTAACTGTCAAAAATTAGGATTTAACCAACAACAATAAGAGATAATGGGATATACAACCAACAATGGTGTAAAGCTCAACATAATTCACTAGCCTCAAACTTAAGGCCACTTTGGGAATCGTTACCCAAGACTTGGAAACCACCCAAGGCTGCCACCGTTCAGTGACGCAGCAAAGGCATCTCTTTGTCGCAGTGCCTGGGCTTTGGTGATCCTTTGGAAATGCTTTGGAAATGCATTCCCTTAAATTCTTAAATATCTTAAATTAGAAGACCTGAAGACCTCCAGAAACCATGGTTTCCATGCAATCGACTTGTTTAATGTTTTGGGGTGAATAGACATTCAACTTGCCACTGGAAACTTGATTCAAAAAAATCCTAACATGAGCATCTGTGAAGTGTCTTCAGCCCCATCTTTGATGGCTAAATGATCCGTAAAAATCATTAAAAATCTCCATATTGCTTGGTTCAATCCCCATGAAATGACCAGTGCAACTCCAACACTTTCCGTTTCCAGATGATTTTTTTCGTTGTTCAGAAAAGGGCTATGCCAATGGAAATAGATCACATCCATCATTTCAAACTGGCTGATGAAAAAAACTTAAATTGTCATGGCAAAAATGCCATGGTTCAAAGTTAAAAACCTCAAAAAATGCCATGGTTTTCCTCTCTAAACTGGGTCACTTTCCCAGCCTTCTCAACCGCCTCCCAGTTCTTTCCCTTGATGTTGGGATCATCCGGATCCAGCCTTTGTTGAAGAAAAAACTGAATGAATCCAACAAGCAGATCAGTTGACTTTGAGATAGTCAGATAGTCCACAAACTTGGCACTATGATGATGATTTGGGTCTGTCATCCCCTGGTTAATCATCATTTCCCCTGTTAAATTGCCATGGCTTGGGAAGTGACGTTTGCCACGACGATGCAAACATGGCGACTAAGGCAGCAGCGTATTGGCGGAAATGTTGTAGAGATCCCTCGGCGTGAGACTTTCTCAGTCTGGCACAACTGCGACCGGTGGTTTCAAGCCGTCCCTCCGCGAAAAAATATGCCCATGGGGAACCACCATCCCAAAAAAAGAAAATTGGGAGGGATTTCCAGTTTCCTTGCTTTGGGCAGCAAAAAAAGCCTGAGCTTCGCACATCTCGGCCTCACATCAAGGACCTATTCCCCCCCTTGAGCCGGACCAAGGTGCCAAGCTCGACTCACCAAGCAGCACACATCCACTGATGACACATTCGGCATCTCCGGCTCAAGACAAATCTCAGAGACCTCAAACTAAAGTATACTAAAGTTATGTGCTGAAAGGGTAAGAAATCTAGCTACATAGCCGGACTATGCCAGACTCATGCGTTTCAGTTGCCGGTCTTTCTTGCCGCTGCTTCATATCGGATTGATCTCGTCCGCTAGAAATTGAACGCTCAAATCACGAATCTGCAGCTGATTCGCTGATCAGAGACAAAAAATGAGCTTCACCTCAAGACTTCCTAACATTCATCTTCAGATTTTCACTTCTTGCCAGGGAAGATGAAATTGCCCACCACCAGCAACGCGCTTGCCAACACTGCAAAGACCAGCAGGAAAGGCCAGCTGGGTGGCATCATGTAGTCCTGCAGGCATCTGATATGATGCACCATCTGTAGCAAGCAAATAAAATACATTCAAATACAGTGAATTCAATCAAGCTGCTTTGTTCATATCATGTGTATTTATTTTCTCTCTGCAGCGATTCAAATATACAACTGGTAGCTCAAGTACGGCTTTCCTCTGCCATGGCTGGCTGCACAACAAGGAGTGGCAGGAGGCCCGCTGCAGCGGAGGTTGCTGCAGTGTTGGGGACACTGCGGGGTGCCGGGGAAGGCACAAATGCAGGCACCACAAACAAGGCGGCCACCAAGAGGAGAGGCAGGAAGGAGCTGCGGGCCATGGTCCTCAAGTTAGCATTCATGAAATCAATTTGTATTGAGGCTGTCAGTTTCGTATGTTTCGTACGAACTCAAGCTGAAAGAGAACAACAAGGTGTCTCCCAATGAACGCAGCTGGCCTTATCTGTCGAAGCAATCGAAAGGCGACAGCTACTTCTTGAGGTCTATCAGCTTGAAAGTCCAATGGCGGCAGCATCCAAACAAGTGAAGGCACACATCCAATTTGGTGCTGAGAGAACGAAATGTGCAACCACCAAAAACAGTCCCTGCCAGTTCACACTGAAACACTGAAGACTTTGACACATTCTGCATATGCGGCTCAAGACAAATCTAAGATATCAAACCTTAACAACAACTCGTCTGCTGACAGCGCAAAAGTGCTAGATAAAGCCAGACTTTGCCAGCCTCCCCTTTTTTTTGCGGTTCATTTCAGATTGACCTTGTCCGCTAGAAATTGAACGCTCAAATCACGAATCTGCAGCTGATTCTTTGATCAGAGACTAAAAATGAGCTTCACCTCAAGACTTCCTAACATTCATCTTCAGATTTTCACTTCTTGCCAGGGAAGATGAAATTGCCCACCACCAGCAACGCGCTTGCCAACACTGCAAAGACCAGCAGGAAAGGCCAGCTGGGTGGCATCATGTAGTCCTGCAGGCATCTGATATGATGCACCATCTGTAGCAAGCAAATAAAATACATTCAAATACAGTGAATTCAATCAAGCTGCTTTGTTCATATCATGTGTATTTATTTTCTCTCTGCAGCGATTCAAATATACAACTGGTAGCTCAAGTACGGCTTTCCTCTGCCATGGCTGGCTGCACAACAAGGAGTGGCAGGAGGCCCGCTGCAGCGGAGGTTGCTGCAGTGTTGGGGACACTGCGGGGTGCCGGGGAAGGCACAAATGCAGGCACCACAAACAAGGCGGCCACCAAGAGGAGAGGCAGGAAGGAGCTGCGGGCCATGGTCCTCAAGTTAGCATTCATGAAATCAATTTGTATTGAGGCTGTCAGTTTCGTATGTTTCGTACGAACTCAAGCTGAAAGAGAACAACAAGGTGTCTCCCAATGAACGCAGCTGGCCTTATCTGTCGAAGCAATCGAAAGGCGACAGCTACTTCTTGAGGTCTATCAGCTTGAAAGTCCAATGGCGGCAGCATCCAAACAAGTGAAGGCACACATCCAATTTGGTGCTGAGAGAACGAAATGTGCAACAAATCTCAGATATCAAACGTTTGTTCCTCTAAGATCACTATGCCAAGCTCCTCTCTTTTTGGCGGTTCATTTCAGGTTGACCTTGTCCGCTAGAAATTGAACGCTCAAATCACGAATCTGCAGCTGATTCGCTGATCAGAGACAAAAAATGAGCTTCACCTCAAGACTTCCTAACATTCATCTTCAGATTTTCACTTCTTGCCAGGGAAGATGAAATTGCCCACCACCAGCAACGCGCTTGCCAACACTGCAAAGACCAGCAGGAAAGGCCAGCTGGGTGGCATCATGTAGTCCTGCAGGCATCTGATATGATGCACCATCTGTAGCAAGCAAATAAAATACATTCAAATACAGTGAATTCAATCAAGCTGCTTTGTTCATATCATGTGTATTTATTTTCTCTCTGCAGCGATTCAAATATACAACTGGTAGCTCAAGTACGGCTTTCCTCTGCCATGGCTGGCTGCACAACAAGGAGTGGCAGGAGGCCCGCTGCAGCGGAGGTTGCTGCAGTGTTGGGGACACTGCGGGGTGCCGGGGAAGGCACAAATGCAGGCACCACAAACAAGGCGGCCACCAAGAGGAGAGGCAGGAAGGAGCTGCGGGCCATGGTCCTCAAGTTAGCATTCATGAAATCAATTTGTATTGAGGCTGTCAGTTTCGTATGTTTCGTACAAACTCAAGCTGAAAGAGAACAACAAGGTGGCTCCCAATGAACGCAGCTGGCCTTATCTGTCGAAGCAATCGAAAGGCGACAGCTACTTCTTGAAGTCTATCAGCTTGAAAGTCCAATGGCGGCAACATCCAAACAAGTGAAGGCACACATCCAATTTGGTGAAGAGAGAACAAAATATGCAACCACCAAAAACAGTCCCTGCCAGTTCACACTGAAACACTGAAGACTTTGACACATTCTGCATATGCGGCTCAAGACAAATCTAAGATATCAAACCTTAACAACAACTCGTCTGCTGACAGCGCAACAGTGCTAGATAAAGCCAGACTTTGCCAGCCTCCCCTTTTTTTTGCGGTTCATTTCAGGTTGACCTTGTCCGCTAGAAATTGAACGCTCAAATCACGAATCTGCAGCTGATTCGCTGATCAGAGACAAAAAATGAGCTTCACCTCAAGACTTCCTAACATTCATCTTCAGATTTTCACTTCTTGCCAGGGAAGATGAAATTGCCCACCACCAGCAACGCGCTTGCCAACACTGCAAAGACCAGCAGGAAAGGCCAGCTGGGTGGCATCATGTAGTCCTGCAGGCATCTGATATGATGCACCATCTGTAGCAAGCAAATAAAATACATTCAAATACAGTGAATTCAATCAAGCTGCTTTGTTCATATCATGTGTATTTATTTTCTCTCTGCAGCGATTCAAATATACAACTGGTAGCTCAAGTACGGCTTTCCTCTGCCATGGCTGGCTGCACAACAAGGAGTGGCAGGAGGCCCGCTGCAGCGGAGGTTGCTGCAGTGTTGGGGACACTGCGGGGTGCCGGGGAAGGCACAAATGCAGGCACCACAAACAAGGCGGCCACCAAGAGGAGAGGCAGGAAGGAGCTGCGGGCCATGGTCCTCAAGTTAGCATTCATGAAATCAATTTGTATTGAGGCTGTCAGTTTCGTATGTTTCGTACGAACTCAAGCTGAAAGAGAACAACAAGGTGTCTCCCAATGAACGCAGCTGGCCTTATCTGTCGAAGCAATCGAAAGGCGACAGCTACTTCTTGAGGTCTATCAGCTCGACAGTGCAATGGTGGCAACAGAATTCTAAGTTGCTCAACTGTTGGCTGAATGAATATCCCATCCCCACCACTTGTGTGTCAAATTTCCCAAAGGGGGCTGTCCAGAAATATAGCAAAAGAAAACAGGTTGGTTTGCTACCGTATTCCATACTATTTTGGCGATTTTGGTGTAAACCAAATTCTTGGACAAACCAAATCAATAGGCCAGGACGCCGCAAGGAATTTTCCCCTTGAAAACAATTTTGGTCTTTCATGCCCGCCAGATGCCTTTGGCACTTCAGACGTGAAAGTTCTGAGAACATCTCTATGCGCTGTCTCGATGAATTTCAACCCCTTAAAACGCAGCTGCTCATTACGGGCACAAGGGAAATATCCTGAAATCCTGCCTTCGATATGTTCAGGCCTTCTGCTACAAAATGCACCCCTAAACGGCCTCATCAATGGGGCCTTACGCCAAATCATCTCCAAGGCAAAGGTTAAGCTCTGGGTAGTTTGGACACTACAACCAGGGCCCCATCATAGTACATTGATGTACATTGTAATATTCCCATCACCTTTGTCCGTTTGGTGCATGCGCTTCCATTGACCAGCAGCTCAAGAGTTCTTAGCTCACACTGACGGACTGATGTGCCTTTTTCTTCGCCTGTTACAGATATACTGTATGATTTTCTTAGGAAGAAATCACAAACCAAGACAACACCTGTGACAAACCAGTGAGCTGTTTGGTGCCCCCAAAACCAGGTTTTCAGACAGCCCCAACCTCGTCAGTGTGAGCTCCAAGGACCCAGAACAATGGGAGGAGGATTGCCTACGCTCGGCCATAGCCACAGAGCGGAGTGCACGCTGGACGACAGGCCACACCTGAGGCGTGGTTCCCAGGGTCTTACCCTCTGGTAATTTAACATAACTATGGAAAATCACCATGTTTTATGGGAAAATCCACTATAAATGGTCATGTTCAATAGCTGTGTTAGTTTACCAGAGGGTAAATCATCATCATCTTAATCATGTTAGATCTAGCCCTATGGTGTTTGCATCTTGGTCCCACTATAGATGAAACTGAAATGTGGGTTCTGTAGCGTTCAAATGCTGTTCATGCCATTCCTTGTTCGAGCTATGTGGGATTTGGGGCAAATCTTCCAGATCGACTCATGGCAAATCCACTAGGGCTTTGGCACTCGACCACTTCATCGCCATCACATCGGGATGCGCCCTGGCCCCCAGACTGGCCGCTGGAGTGTTTCACCATGTTTCACCCATTACTGGTCTGGCTTTGGAAAGATTGTTGTAATGTGGGTAAAACAATGCCATAAACCATCCCTCAGTCAACACCATTTGGGGATGGGTCAAAACCCTATCCCCCTGGTGAACATCAAAATAGCTGGTAAATGGATGTTCATCCCCCTAAAAATGGTTTGTATAGGTATTGATCCATAGCCATTTTTATAGGGGATATGAACCATTCCCAGTGGTGGTGACATTGATCAGCCTCGAAGCAGCGACGTCGCAGGTCATCGATCGAAGCGACCTATGGACACCGGTGAATGTCTTGAAAACCTGTTGATTCTTTGGGCCAAAGTCATTGGGGTACCAGTAAACCCTCTATAGATCTATAAGTGATCTATATAGTTCTAATATGTTTTAAAGGATTCTCATCAGTTGCCATTTAAAAACCGCAATTTCTAGGGACTTGGCGCCTGTTTCCCATTTCTTGGTGGACGTCGGTGCCGATTCTTGGACGCCGACACCCGGAACTTGTTGAGATTGCTGGACCGCTGCCACCCGCTTGGCTAAGAGCTCGTACCTGAAACTGGGGGCTGGGCCCAAACCCCGGGAATTCTTGGGTGAACTCTTGAAACCCCCATCGATTCCGAAATGGTGCCTCCAGCAAGGTTCCAGAAATGTATCAGGAAATGATGTTCAACGGATTCAACCGCGAGATTCCTGGGTACCCTATTTTCAAACTCCTGACAAACCCCAATGAGCAGTGGTCCAACTTGGGGGACCTCTCTTCAACGAATCTATGGCATTATGGTTTTCGAATGAGCTGGCATGTTCACCGCATTTTTGGCCGTTTTATTGAAAAACTCATACCCAATTGCCAAAGGCCTGCAAGATAAAGGTGCAATTACTCCCTTCACTGGCAGGATGCGGAAATCCACGGCGCACGTGCGGTCCCATCGCTTCCAAGCCTACTCAGCAACCAAAAGACCACACTCGGGTTGATGGTCCCTTCAAACCTTATCATTTTTTATTGGCATTCCCCCGTTTTCCCGACCGTGTTCCCATGATTGTTGGTAGAGTCCAATTGTTGCTGGCCTAAACCATTTCCCCATTTCATTCCCGGAATTTGTTTGAGGTTTTTTACATCATATAACCATATCCAATATTTGGGGATCAGAAACATGCTGTCCTGCAAGTCAGCTTCACTTGGATGCGAGCGCCAACAAGTGAGTTCCTGGCACTGCTTGGTTAGTAGGGATTCCCATGGTGGATTGTGATCATCCCTAGTATAAATATATATATATTGGTAGGATAACCCCCTATAATCATCACTCAGCAGCTCAACTGCGAGCGATTTGATTAGCAGGAATGGTATATAACATTATACAACCGATGATATTGGGATGCAATTATGACTAACAAGGAGAAACTCTTCAACAAGTTCGCTGGGTCTTGTCGCCCCAGCAAACACTGGTTGCTGCTGCGGTGGTTTCGGAAAGGCGCCAGCTCCACACCAAGAACTGACTCCAAAAGGCCAGAGATCATCAACCTGCCGCTGCACAGCTCGAAAACTCACGGGACGCTCCAACAAGGGTTTGGTACATGTTCATATGATCCGCATCGGATATCGAATGCAATCCCAAGTATCAGGGGATGGCATATGATCAGTGATGCTCAATAGTTCCAGCCAGTGACACCACACTTTACCACCCCCCAAGGCCTGGAAGATAGGAGGCTTGACGTAAGGCCTGGCCAACAGCACAAGAATCACCACGAGGTGACGCCAGTGCCAGCAGCTGTTGGCCAACGGAAAAGGTGCCTGCAGCTACATGTAGTCGGAAGATGATATACATACATAGACATATAGAGACTATATAGACATATATAGAGATGTTATAGACACAACAACATAGTAGACATAGTAGATATAGTAGACATAGCTTCCGGAATACGAAAAAAGATGGATCTCCCTCCAACGTTGAGATCAACTCACCGAGCTCCCAAGCCTCCCTTTTCACGAAAATCAGGGGACTGCAGCACCTGCTCTCGTGGGTGTCTCCGAATGCCATGGCCATGGAATAATGGGAGTTGTCATGATTTGCTCAACCAAATGGAATTTGGGTACTCAGTTTGTCAACAAACTCAGTGGCAAAGCCGATAGTAAACCTCCAAGTGGTTAACTATTCTAGTGTGTATACATACATAATATATATATATGTCTACACACCCACTTCATCAAGTTTCCAAGGTCACAAGAATAGGATGATTCCTTGCCGGGTCCCAAACAACCCCAGATCTGGGCGCCTGCATTAGCAATCCACTATCCTCCTGAGCCGCGAAGCTGCCTGGAGAGCCTTGACCTCGGCAGATGCTGATCCTGGATGGTGACTGGGTGACTGGGTGACTGGGCCGCCCATCACCTGTGTATTCGTTGAGGACTTGAGGATAGTAAAATATAGTAAAGGGATGTTATCAGGTGAGATAGATGGGATTCAGATGGACTATCTCATCTTGAAATAAGGCTTCGATTTTCAAAGACTGCAACAAATCATCCGATCATCTGTAGCTTCAAATGTACCCTCTGGAAATTGATAATCAAGATTCAATATGATTCAATAGCTATTGAAAATGACCCATTTATAGTTGGCGATTTTCCACTTCGCTGAGTTCAGGCCAGTTCGGCCAAGGAGCTGATGACATCCAGCAGGGCTTCACCCGAGTTTTTGTGCCTCGGAGCACCCGAGTTTTTGGGCGTGAAAATGTCCCCTGGGGGTCTCAGAGTTTATCAGCTTTACCATTGAAATGGGTTTGTCCAAGAGTATCATACACCAATAGATGGCAAATATGGCCATGGCCAAAAATGATATAAAATGATCAGATGCGGCATCCACCACCGAACTGGAATTGGAGGCAATCCATTCGAACTGGGAGTGATCCATTTTCAGACCCATATCCCGTTACACACCCAATGTATCCCCCAGTGGCCGATTGCGAAAAACCTCTCTCCCCCCCATTGTTTTAGGGCACCGGCAGGGGCACCCCACCCATCCCCCTTGGCCCCCCAACATCACGGCCAGTTCCGTGATACGCCTTAAGAGGTCCTTCTGCAGTTCACTGGGGTTAGAAACCAACAACTAGCGAACTGGGGCACCACCAGCCGTAATTGGGGACAACTACTTTAACTACTGCATTCCAGTTGGTAAATGAAAAATATCCGTTTGATCGACCCACTTATACAGCGATTACTAAGTACTACAGTAACTGGGTGGCATGCAAAACCAACTGGCCAATACTGAGGAAATACTTTCTGTTTGCAAAGCACACCATGAGTTTGTTTGTTGCTCTCCCAACATTCATTTTGGGTTTCATGGAATCCTGTTTACTGTTTTGTTCAGGTATGATGAAGTCGGATGAATGGAGACTTCTCTTTTTCCAACAAAAATGGGGACTCCGACGTCTCCTTTGGTCAGTGAAGAACGAGGTGCAAAGCAAATCACTGCAAACTGCTACACCCCATGTGTTGGTACCACATCCCAAGGCTGACATGGCAAGGTGACGAGGCATCCTCAATTCGATTCCAACATTCCAACGTCCTGTTTTCATGGGATCATCAGGATTCGCCATCACTACGTATTTCATCATATTTCTGTCCCTGCCCATGTGATCCACCTCTGTAGCTAGAAGAGTCTCATCTGCTGTACTCAGCAAATCACGTTCACCTTGGTTTTGAAGTGCTCAGCTAGATGCGTTTGCATCTAGCTGCAATTGGTCTTCCGTAATGTCAACTCCGGATTCAGAAAGCCTGGTTGATTCCTGGTTGATTAACTAGAGGGAGACAGCCAGGAGTGATAAACTACTACAGATTTGGATCATTTCAGCCTAAAACGACCATCAGAAATGTCCCTCCCACCATCCCGGCATCGTGACTTCCCCAGTCATCCCAGCCCCGGGCTCCTCCGGGCCACTGGGCCCCTGGGCCCCAGGCCATGAGTGGAGAAGGAGTCCAAACAGTCCCGGAGCATCTCGACACAAAGGCGGAACTCCCAGAGCCTGGTACTTCGGGGAGCTTGGGACCGATGGCTTTCGCCACATTTTTTGTGACTTTTATGCGGATATTTAGGTAACGGACTGTATGTATACATATTGTTACACATATATATATATAACACTGTGACTTGCAGACATGTGAACTGAGAAATGGATTGGAGCCAAGAGACTCAGAAAAGAACAAGCATTACATTCTGAAGTGCAGTGTCGCATGGTGCACCTGAACCTGCCAATCCGAAACACCAAAGACATATAATACAGAACATTAGATAGTATCTACTGTAAGTATCAAACAATCTGGGAGATGGTTCGCATCTACAACTATATTTTTACTTTTCATATTTAGATCCTCTTTCAACAAACGCTTCCCACCTGTCGACTCGATCCAAATCTTCGAGCTGCTTGGAGCGTTTCTCCTCCAAGGCTTTAGCCTGATCGGTGGTTGCTGAATGATCACGGGTAGCTGATGATGCATGATGAACAGGCCACAATGAGTAGGAGAAGGTGGATGAATGCTGGTGTGGAAAAGGCCACCTGCGGCCTGCTGCATTTGCCATCAGATTGAGGCCAGCACAAGTTGAAATGGGCCAGCTCCCAATGGGTTGATCATTAGATCCTGCCAAGTCGAGCTGCCGGATGCACTATGCCACTATGCCATCAGTCAAGTTTTGCGTGCCTTCCAAACCTTTTTTGCAGGGCGTCCAAAGAATGGAACAATCCGGCAGAGTGGCACCCGCAACAAGATGGCAACTTGAAAGCCCTTTTGAATCTCTCATCAGCCATCTTTCACGACTCAGCTGACTCTGCGAAAGGTTGAGTTAACCATCGCAGTAGCCGGGCCAGAGTCCAGCGACCCTAGAGCTACGTGTTTTCCGTTGCGGCAACGGGTACGTTGACCCGTAAATGCGTGGCAAAGGCATCCACAAAGGCCTTTTTTTCGGCGCTTAACACCCTTTAACCATGGCCTTCAACAGAGAGAAAGAACAAAGCAAGGCCCATCCATTTCAGTCGATTGATGCTTTGCCACCAATTCGGGATCCATTAGATCCCCACCTCCGTGGCCCGGAGCTTTGTGGGCCGTATATCCTGCGGCGGTGCTGGGGGATTATGAACCTACCCAACAAGACAAGTGGAGAAAATGTATTGATGGTAATGTGGCATACCCAATACATAAACCTGCGATTTGGAGACGAGATTTACCCCCCATCTATGGTAATATTGGGGGATGGTTTATGCCCACAATATCCATCTAGATCAGATCCATCCCCCTTGTGCAAGTCGCAAATCTTCATCGACTGCTGAGTAGCTGGCACTCATCGGAAGAGGAAGCTGAAGTTATGGATGAGCATCCTGCCACGTCACCGGATGCTGACGTCTACCACTGGACGCTGCTAAGGACCACTGGTGATATTATACCAGCTCGGCCTCATGACCGGTTGGCACTCCAGAAATTGGATGTGGGCAGCTCGACCAATGAAGGTGTCCTCAGCCATGCTGCTGAGCTACTCAAAGGATCTGAAAGGCATGCAATTTTGCATAGGTGCAGCTGGGCTTCAAGATTGTTTTCCTCGGTAAACACCAACTAGTTTGCGGTTTCTCTTGTTAAAACACTACTGGAAAGCAAAACCACTCACTTTACAACTCTACATTGACTCTACATACAATTCTGACGTTCATAACAGTAAAAAAATGCATTCTGAGACACCGGAATGTGGAAATTGACATCAAATCTGAAAACCCTTTCGGGCTTCACCTTGGTCAGCGTTGCTGACTGAACGAGGCGGAATGGAGTGGGTAGGGCGTGTCACGACCCCCAAGTTACCCTTTTGTGGAAAACCCACCATTTGTAGACTATTTCCTAGGGAAACCATGGGTTTTCCACATCTATGTTAGTTTACCCTAAGGTAAGATGCAGAGAGGTAAAATCCAATCCTGAAATATTGGCAAAGTTGTTGTTTTCCTATCTATTTGGGGGTTGCCAGAAAGTTAATTTCTGATTCTCACAAATGATCGAATAGTTCTCCTCTCGTTTGTCAGCCAAGGGACATTTTTCCATAGATTCTGCACGATTTCTTTGTAGGCCTCCTGTGCCGTGTGCATCCCCAACATGTTCCCAATCTCAACCTCAGCCATGGCAAAGGTTCACCTTTTGCTCAACATTTCCACCGTGGCAATCTGAGCCATCTGAGTTTTTGACTCTGGCAGAGTCGAAAGGACCATAGCTGTCGCTGAAACAGGAGACCAACACCACATTCTGAAAATACCTGGGAGCTGCAGGAGTCTGGCACAGAACTTTGGACCTACACGAATTCATATGGGCCATGTGTCTGAGTCACACCCATCCCTGAACAAAGAAAGGTAAACATGATGAGACCAGACTGTCGGAACAGCAAGTCATGGGCCCGGTTCAACAACGCCAAGAACCAGCCAGTCGCCCTTTTTTACAATTTGAAACCAATAAGTAGGGTCATGACTGGACAAGTTTTTCGCAAAAAAGGATGCCCAAAAAAAAAAATCCTCCGGTTCATCATGTTTCCCATAAAATGACCATTTCATGGGTATATCCCATTTTCAGACACACCCAAAAATCATATCAAGTTGGTTGGGTAATCTTTAATGTATATCCCCATGAAATCTCTCCAGTTTTGGATGATTTTTCCAAAATATCCATAAATATCCCATTACAAAGCCCATTATGAAGCCCACTTAAATAATAGCCTATAGAAATTTATCATAGTTGAATCCCCATTTACAAATGGTGGCTTTTTTTAGTAGCCCTATGATAAATGACATTCAATATCCGAATTCTTCATGGTTAAATCATGGTTAAATCTCCCGTTGAATCCCCAGATCCCCTTCGACTTCGGCTGAGTGTCTCAAATCCAGGCGTTTGACTCAACCTCGGCGAAGTCGCTTACCCGGCATTGCTACATGTCGTATTGCAAGGGCTGTCCACTTGAGAATGGTTTGTTACCCAATACCTAGATATTAATCCCTATGTAGATATATCATATATAAACAAATACATACTTGGAATGTGAATGACCCCCTTCTTTTGAAGCTGTTGACCCACCAAATGGAGGGCGGACCATGGTCATTTGGGTTTCCAGGCACCAAAACAAAGATCGTTTATCCATAAATATATAAATATGTGTATACATACATATATATTATATAATATTATATATATACACAAATATCCTGTTCATCACTGTACATGTTTATCATATAACCCTCCTTCACCATCTCAATTTGTTTAGGCCAAAAAAAGCCGGTTATCCTTTTCTGACCCAAGATCCTCTCCTGTCATCGGAGGCACTTGTAAATCATGGTCTTCCTGGGATCATCGGCATCCGCCATGGACAGCTGCGTGAGACATTGCGAGCCTCGCCAGGATTGGAGCACCTGCCAACGAAAAAAACGGGAGGAATGGTGGTCCTATGGTGAAAATTCAGGCCATTTCACGGATATTTTTCCGGGATATCTAATGATATATGGGAGAATTAACCATAAACTTAATAGTATTTAATGAAATGATATTTATACAATGGATAACATGAAAAAAACAACTTAATATGTTATTTAATGGGATAACTAACCATAAATAACTGGGGATATCCCACATTACATTACTGGACACATCTTCAAAGGAGAATGGGCAATAAAAGAGGTTACAACCATGGCAGTTCTTTACTCAAGCTCCACAAACGTCATGAACTGTCGTCCTTCCAACTCTGCGGAAGGAGAGAAGGAAAGGAAAAAAAACGTAGCCAAAATTGAGAACAGCACCTATATACATTATGTGTACATATATATATACATATATATATATATGTATGTATGTATGTATGTACGTATGTATATATATATACTTAGCTGCCTACCTACCTACCTACCTACCTACCTACCTAGCTAGCCATCTATCTATCTATCTATCTATCTGCACAGCGGTCACCGCACCTTCAGGCCAAGGTGGAAGAGACTGATGTTCTTCAGGAAATATCCTCAGCGCGCTGAAAATCGAAGGTGGGGTGGCCTTCAAGAGATTTTCTGATGACCAGCCTCCATGAAGTGTTTGATTTTTTGGGGGGGTCGTCGGTGCGACCTTATTGACACCTCTATCGAAAGTACTGGGAGTAGCCAACTTTTTAGGTGTTTCGATGTTCTCATTTACAAAAAAAAATAGGTGTTGAGATGTTAGTTTCAACACGCATATAGTTTGGGCGTAAAATAAGCGACAAAAAAAAAAACTATGGACTAAAACTCTCATGTTCACCATTAGAATCAAGAGAAATGGGGATAAATCCACCATATTTAGACAGGAACTTACCCATCTCACCAGCCAGGCTACCAACGTGTGGAGAGGAGAAGGTCAGGATGGTGAACATCTTATCTCTGAAGTCCTGCGATGCATTTCTCTCAATGGATTGGTTACCTGGGACCTGGTGTGAGGGAAAATCTTACAGGAAACCATGGTTTTTTGACATCAAATAGTTTCCTGGGAAAATCTGCAGGAAACCAGCAAAATGACATCAAATATAGAATTTTCTGTAGATGTCCCCATCCAGTTCTGGCATTTTGATGCATTTCTCAGGTCCAAAATTCAAGCAAAAATTCACCGGGGAATCAATCAACAAATGTTTTGGGGATTTGACGACTGAAAACATGAGGACATCACCAAACAAGTAATGGGATATAAACAAAGACATGCATGAAAGTGTACATACGTATACCGTATACATACAGTAGAATGTGTATGTATATATATATTATGCATGCATGCATATATAATTATATAATTATATAATTAATCATATAATTATATAATTATATAATTATATAATTATATGATTATATATATATATCCATTATTATCTAGTATCTGTATATATATATATTATTATTTATTATTATTATTATTATCATTATTATCATTCTTGATACTATATTCATACAAATTATATGTACATCACCAGCAATGATGGACATGGATCAAAAAGCAGTAGCTGATCCATCCCAAACGGCTGAGAAATTCCAAGGGGATCGACGAAAACGTGGAAAAGAACGCCTCAACGGATTGGTTCAAGGGAAAGTCGATCATAAAAAATGGAGGGATTCCTTTAACCAAAGGGATTCCCTAAAAATTTATATGATCCAATTGGAATACCACCCAACAAAAATTAGGGATTCCTCCAAATTGCCTTCAACAAATTCTGGGAAAGCCGCATCCTGAAGATGGGGAATCGCTGACCGCACAATCAATCCACCTCGGACCCCATGGCCAATGGCAGAGGTGTGGGTCAGTTCATGTAGCCCATTTGACTAATCGTGAAACCGAATATCTCTTGACTACCCATTGCCACATCTACTAGGGTCAAAACATGGTCTATGGTTCATGGTCATCCATCCCATTGAGAATCCTGATAGTTGGCATTCAACTCCCTGTTAAGCGATTGATAACCATCCCCCAATAGACAAATAGATCGATGGACGAATGGATGGATTGATAGATCTATGTCATTACACAACTGCATCCATTATAACTTGGACATAGCCGCCACCAATGGGCAATGTTGCGGTTGACATGCAACCCAACCCTATCTATTTATCCGCCCATGTCATCACCTTCAAAGCAGTACCAGCCACCAGTCGCAACGGAGGCACCAATGGAATGAGCGATAAAGCTCAGTCGCCCCAGTGCTGTACCTGGGCACCAGTCGCAGATGAAGTTTCCCACCTGGCGCCGTGAGGAGATAAACCACATATAACTGGGGTAGAATTGGTAACGCTGGGTCTTGAAACTCCCGAAAGCTGCCAAAAATAGACATTTCAAAATAAAAAAAGGGGGATTCTTCAACCTGTAAAAGTAACTGACCTGAAAACTGGGATTCAACCAGGATTTACGCGGTGGGAATGTGGGTTTAGCTTGCGGATTGATGTGATAGATAACCTGACAAAACGCTTCGTGAGGCTTCAGGTGGGTTCATTGCTTGGTGAATGGTGCTACATTAAAATGTCAATTATCAACAGTGATTTCAAAGTGACAAAAAATGACCTCTCACTTTACAGAATCGCGAGTGTTCATCTGGCTTTGACTCAATACAGTACTCAAAAAAAGTCATGATAAGTCAATATATGTACTATAGATCTTTTCTCAATGACGGAAAAAATCTGAGTCCTATATATAATGTAGTAATTTAAAAAATAGCATCTCATTATACAGCCATCAGATCATATGTTCCCGGCCTCTTGTGCCAGTCGGATGCCCATCTCCTGGAAATCGCCTTCCGTGTTGTCCTGGCGATCCCAAAAAAACGGTGGAATTCCGACATGTCTCAGATGGAATTACGGGTAATTTATGGGTAATATTGGGTAATTATGACTTAATTGTGGGTTAATAATTATGACATATTATGACTATATGATTGTATATAGATGTACATGGTGTATACATCGCAAAACAAGAGTTCGTATTCCTGACGCAAACATGCCGAAACTCTGTGCATTAAGGTGGCCTTAGATTTTGAACTCAAGTCTAGATTCTTCACATGCACACCTCCGAGTCAATTTTCTAAATGGTGGGTTGTTGATCTGTGGATTTCTGTGGCTGTTATGTTCGTCCTCGTTGGATTGAGAGCACAGAAAGATGGCATCGGGATACAGCAACGCGATGTTGTTCTTCATAAGTCGCATGTCAAAGGAGTTCCTTACCAGGTGCCATGCGCAGCCACTCCACATGGATATATCATGGTATATCTCCAAATTGTGCGACCTGTTCTACCCCTGTGGCTATCATCAGGGCATAGGTCAAAAACTATGAGATACCATATTTGGAGGGACGAACATCCCTAAATCCGAGATATTCTTATGTGAAGAGTGTGACAGAGGGCACCATATATTATATAAATATTTTTCTACTACCTATGAAATTGCCAAGACGCAGTCAAATGGCAAATGCAAGGCGACCTTTTGTCTTGCGAGGTCGGAGCCAGATGGCTTAGGCCTACATGCACAGATTTGTGCGTGTCATCCTGTGCAGGGGTCATGCTAATCTCATGCCAGCACATGTCTCATGGGTTTCAATGGCAAGCATTGGGTTCTTCAGCGGATAAATTTTCTTGTTGACTTGAAACCCATGGCATGTATGCAGTCGCCAAAATGGAAGCCACATCGCCGATCGCCTCATGTCTATTCGGCAATCCTGTATAAGGCTTTTGGCTTTCCAACTGTCTCCATTCACCATGTCCATTGGAATCAATGAACTTTGCATAGGTGCTTCTAATTGGAAACTTGCTGGCTTGGAACCTAGGTTCTGGCGTTCTGTACGATTTAGCATTTCTGGCCACATGCACTTTGTACATACCTTTGTCATGCCATCCAGGTTGGTCACTGAGACCAATTAAATGTCCAAAAATAGGATCCTCAGTCTTTACAGGATGTCCTACGGGCAAAGCATCGGATGGTCTCACAGCTTTGGTCTGTTTCTTGACCGGCTGTTTCACAAAACTGGGTGAAAAAGTCACGCACCACTCATTTGATTGAAGGATCCGCGCCATGTGGTCAAGCTTCATGAACTTGGTCCCTCCATCCACAAACATGTTGTCCGTGGCCGTCCAAACGAGTTTGGTGCTATCCTTTCGGAGCATGTGCCTGATCCAGGCGATGGTGAATGCCAGGCTCTTCTGTGAGCCATAGGTCGGCGTATCAGAATTGCACTTGTCATAGTTGTCTTTGGCGTCAGTCACCAGCTGCATTGGGATCTGCTCCATGCTCTTCTCGGCCATCTCGCGATCCAATGGGTAACCCATCAGTTCGGCAAAGGCTCCTCTGCAGTACTGCCCTGCATCGAGCCCTTCTTCTGTTCCCAGCAACTCGGCCGCAAAGGTCGAACGGCACACCCGTCCAAGGCGATGGCTTCTCGCCTCAATCAGGTTGAACTTGCCAGGACGCCCATTCATCAAGTTCTCATCCGCCAGCATGATGCAGTAGCTCGACTGGCTGAAGACGCGCTCAACCACATCGCCATCTGCAGAACCAGACTTGGCGACATTTCCCAAGGAGGAATCGCTCACCACCAGTATGCCGCAACGCTTCAGATCCATAGGGACGTAGCGCAATGCGAAGTCACAGTTTTGCTTTGCTTGGCGAACCAAAGAGTTAGCTTTCATCAGGGTACTAACTACTTGTTTATCCCCTTGCAACGTTGAAAGACTAAACCCTAGGTCAACTCGAACTTGGGACACTAACCATTGCAAAGAACCTAAAACAGCTCTCAACTGCTTCTGTTCGCTAAGAGTCAAAGGAGCATCTGGAGTCTGCTTGCGGTGAGCTGCAAGAGGTGCAGGGCGCAAGTTCGCATGGTACTCCTTCATGTCCAAAGTGATTGAATGGTCTGCATGCTGGGTCACCCGTTTACCACAGTAAACAAAGCTGCCACGTTCAAGTGAGCCAAATCCAAGCTCAGCACCCAACGCTTCCAAGGACTTCTCCGCACGGGCATTCCCGCCCATCATCAAATCATCAACATGACTCACAATCATGCCATCCAACGAAGAGCGGTCTGCTGACCACAGGAACCAGGTTGCTGCATCGATCGTAGATCGTTCCCAGCCAAGTGCAGTCAACGACTTGTGTAGTCGAAGGTACCATCTTCTCGGACTGTCGGACAAACCAAAAATCCCTTTTCGAAGGCGAGCCAGCTGACCAAGTCCAAGGGGAAGTTGAGGTTCTCCCTGACAACTAGAGCGAATCTGCCCAATGAACAATTCGCGTTCTTCTGGACCAAACAACTCGCCCTTCAAGAAAGCCGCCTTGACGTCAGCTGACAGCAAATTCCAAAGATTGGAACTCGTCAAGATCAGCAAAAGGTGAAAACTGATCCTGCTGCACGTAGGAGCGTCCTTTCTCACATTGTGGGCAGTCAAATCTTGATACCCAGGCACCACCAAACGCGCTGATGCCTTTACAGGCAGTGGATTTGATGGGGTTCGAAGTCCATCGTGCTTGTCCGTGTAGACATAGCGAGGATGCAAGATTTTGTGCATCTCACCCTTGGATTTCAACCGGCTTCTGACTTCTGCCGCTTCCGTCTCAGTCAAGGGCTCCACCGCATCATTGTCCACCCAAACTTGCCATCCACTTTGAGCTGCAACCTCAAACTGGGCCTTCTGCTCATTGGTCATTTCTTTCCACTTGTACTCCTTGCGGGCAGTCGCTGCTTGAACTTCATTGTTTCCTTTCGGCCAAAGGGCTTTGGCCTTTCCATGAGCAATCCACTCAGATCGACTTGGTAACGGCCATCTGCCATCCCAACTGCCGTGATCTTCAGCGACAGCTTCAAGAGGATCAAGTCGGTCCTTTGCTGCAAGCTCAGCAATCTGCCGTAAAGGATGTTGTCCATCATTGGCCAACCTGAACACGTTCAAAGCGTCGTGCTCGGTAGCTTGTTCCACACTAGCTTCAGGAATAGGAAGCTCTTCAGCTCGAAGAGGTGTCGATTCATAGAGAGTTTGGAGGTCAACATCAGGATTTCGCTTTCGAGAAACTTCTGGAGGAGCTGCTTCATCAGACGCAATGCGATCCATGGCTGCTTCAACTCTAGAGCTTCTTCTGCTTGAGGTCGAAAACAAATGGCCAACAGGAGTGCCAGGAGCGGCACTGCCAACTGCTGCTGAACTGCCAATCAAACTTGTTCGATTGGAACTGAGTGCCGCTGGTGCTTGAGAGAGAGCTGCAGCCACAAGCTCTCTTGGCTGCAAAGGAACTCCACTGGAAACACCAGCGTCTGCTTGTTGAGGTTGTTCTTCAGAAGGAGCAACAGCTGGAACTTGTTCAACTGGAGGCTCAACTTCCAAAGGCATTTGTTGTCGTTGGTCATTCACGGCAGCTTCAACCACATCCTGGATTGCAAGCTCCCATTCATCCGAAGTGATCTGTTCCATGGTTGATGCACGTCTGACGTGCTCCATTGCTGCTTTCACCAACTGGCCCTTGTGGCTAATGAAACAATTGCTATGACCTTCCAATGCCACCAGGAGTCCAGGTCCGTGCCAACGCTTGAGACTCAAACGTTTCTTTGAAGCACTGGTCTTGTTGTTGAATTTACTCATTCAGTAGTAGTAAACAATGTCGCCGGGCTGGAATTGCTGGGCTTCAAGAACCGTGGGTGTTCGGGACCTTGCCAATTCAGCACGGCGTAGGCCACGAGAAAAATGTAAGCGCAGCATTGCCAGCTTCGCAACTTCACGCATCGCAACTTGACGTGCAATGGTGGGTCGTGTCTCGACCAAACCATGTTCTGCAAGTCTTTGGCCAAAATCTCCAAGGACATCTCCCACCATCTTGGGCTGTCTGCCCAATGCCGCCTGAGCGGGTGTCACACCAGCATCTGTCATGTCCCCGTTGTAGGCCATGACTGCCTCTTGCACAGCAAGCTCCATGTCATCTTTGCCCACCAAGGACTGGCTTTTGACAAGGGCCAAAAGAATGGCCTTCAAAATTCCACCACCTTTCTCACAAACTCCGTTCTGCCAGGGCGCCTGCACTGCAGTGTGGTACAGCAAGGTGCTATGTTGAGCCGCCATCTCTTCAAATTTCCAAGCGACAAACTCCTTTCCTTGATCTGCCACCAAAACTCTGGCCGGTCCAAAGATCGGCATCCATCGTTTCTTCATGAAAGCAACCACAGAGTCAGCAGATTTGTCTGGAAGAAGCTCTGCCATCTGAAAACGGCTCACTGCATCTATGACGTGGACCACAAAGAACTTGTTCTCGGCGATGTCTTCAACTTGGAAGATGTCGATGTGAACTTGATCGCCGGTGTCCTTGGGAGTTGGAAGAGTTGCTGGACGACGAGCTTTAGGAGCTCGATGTTCTTGGCACACCGAACACTTCAAGGTTTTGGCTGCCAAAATTGCTTCCTTGGGAGCGCCAGCAATTGCCAGAGCTCTTGCCAACCTTTTGTTGGATCTATGACCCGTATTGCAGTGCAATTTGCGCACTGCTTCCTTTACATTTGCTGAGATCCTGACTTGCGCTTCAGGAATCTGGATCTCATCATCACTGCTGTGAAGGTCACGCATTTCGACCGCAGGATCTATCTCACGGTCAAGGTCATCTTCAAGGTCACCGCCCTCGACGGCCAGCACATTGTTGGGTTTCCGGCGAGCACCATACTGCTTTTCAAACTCCTCCTCAATGCCCTTGATGATTTCGCGGGCCAGCTCTTTCGTGTAGTGACCAGCTGCTGAAGTGATCTTGCTGCCACCAAGAACTTGTTCATGAGGATGATCACGAGTGCATCGCTTCCCATCCAAACGATTAGCAATGGCCTCAGAGCTTGTGACGATCTTGGTTGCCTTCTTGTGGAGAAGACCTGAATTGCCTCGCAAATTGAACCTGCATTGATCAAAAATGGCTTGCTGACATTCAAGACGTTGGAGAAACTGCCGCAGTTCATCAACAGACCATGACTCAGCTGTCAAAGGATTCTCCAACAAGAAGTGCCTACCCTGCTTCAGCTGTTCCTCCGCCAACTCCAAGGCAAAGCGAATCAATTGAATGCCTTCAGCTCGCTTCTGAGCCAGGTCATGGGCAGGGTTGAGTCTCATCAAAGCCGACCAAGGTCCACATGGAAAGGCAAGCACTAGCAAGTATGGCTTCTCCTTGGCTACGACTTGTTTGCAGGCCTTTTGATCAAGCCGGTTTAAGAAGTTCCAGCCTGTCTCAAGGGAAAGCGCTGAGCCCACAGAATGCCCCTTCTTCTTGGCCTCCTTGATGATGCGTTGCACCGCTGTGAAGACTTCGGAGACCAGGACACCCTGGTTGGGGTCAGAAGGTTCAGGAGACAAAGTGATCGAAGTCACAAAGTTCTCATTGAGATTTCTCTCCATCTCCTTCTCCCATTCAGCTTTCAGCACAGCGTGGACATGCCCATGGGAAACAAGGCGTTGATCTCGTTGATGTTTCTGCCAAGCCTGAGCGATCAACTGGGCTTGTCCTTTCTTCACATCATCTGCATCAAGTTTCACTTGAGAGAGCAGGTCAGCCTCGGGGTTTCGAAGTCCATCGACCCCAGGGGAACGAAATCCATCGCCCCTTCGCCCTAAAAGTCCAGAGGGCTTAAAATCCAAGTTGGCGGCCTTCTGACCCAAAAGTCCAAGTCCAAGGTCAGTGCTCACAAGTCTTCCTGTGCTGTCCGCAGCTCCTCGGCTGACATGAAGTCCAGTTCTTCGCCGTACATGACTTCCATTCGTTCTTGCATGAGCTCGTTCTGATGCAGGCCATTGATCTCGTCCATCTCTTCCTCCGTCATCCGGTAGATCTCGGGGAAGGTTCGTACTGCCTCTGCGGCTGTCGTCTGAGACATAGGATTCTGCTGCATGGACATCATGTGCTGCAAGGTTTGCGAGATCATGGCTTGAAAACGACGCTCTTGCTCGGCCAACAGCTGATGCACGTCTTGGGCTAACATGCCGTTCATAGAAGCCGCTTCGGCAGGTTGACTGGGCAAGATTGGAGTTGCCGCTGGAGCCGATCTTGGAGGAGACTTGGGAGTTGGGCGCACCTGAGACGAAGGTGCAGGTCGATGGCTTTCTGGTTGGCCAGCTCCCTTCAAGGTGTCGATCATTGGGCGGATCAATTCCTTGAGCTCGTCCACTTTCATCTTGTCGTGGACGTCCAACTTGAGCAAGGTTGCAAGCCTCAGGAGATCTCCCTTCAAAGCCGGCAAGCCGCCCTTTGGTCCGACTAACTGTCGAGCCGCCGCCAGCCGTTCTTGATCTTGTTCGAGGCGGTCTGCTGTTGCTTTTGCCTCTTGAATCACGGCTTGACGGATCTTTGCTGCTTGGCCCTTCATATAGCGAGCCGCGATCATGCCGTCCAGAAGAGGATCCTCCAAAAAGGCTAGTTTCCAACCAACTCGATTTCGAAATTGGCTGCATTCTTGGAGACTCTGTGCCGTACATAAGTTTTGGGCCAGAGCGTAGTTGCCATGCTTGATGGGCCAAATGCGACCTTTCATCATGTCGCTGATCTGCTTCTGCCACTGCTCCGTAGTTGTTGTTGAAGGATATGGGAATGGCAAGAAACGGAGCATAGGCCGCTGCACAAGCCATAAGAGCAATCCCAAAGCGTGCCAGCGGGCTCTTGCGGCAGCTCGCATCACCATTCTGGCCCACCTTTCGGCCACAGCAGTGGCGCTTCTCTTCACCTTCTTTGATTCCATGGTGAGTTCTGTTAGAAGAGGATGTCGCCGTCGGTCGCCAAGGTGATCGGGAAGTAGAAGCGAGAAGATCTCGAGCTCCCGAACTTGAAGCGGAAGTTGATGAAGAAGTGAAGCCACGTGAACGTGTCATCTCTTGAACCAGGGAAGACAAGCGTGGAGGAACATGATCATGTGAAAACTGTGCTGCACGAATCCCTTGTTCTGTCAAAAGATGCTCATGTCCATCAACTTTCAGTTTCACCTTGCCTGACACTAACAACTTTTTGCTAAACCAATCTTGAGATGACATCTGCTGCTCCAAAATGCCGTCTTGACCCCACCGCCGCCAACGACCAAAATCGAGCCTTGGCCAGGTGTGCGGCATCAACTTCAGAGCAAAGTGCCCCGCAGCGACCTGAGACAGGTCAATCAATTTGCCGTCTAGGAAGTCAGGACGGAGCTTCTGCTTGGTAAAAGAAATCACTGCGCCAATGCCATCCAAAAAATCACGTCCAAGCAAAAGTCCAAGGCTTGGCACCTTCACAACACTCACCCAAACCAAAACCAAATTGTCACCAATCATCATCGGCAGTCGGTATCGAATCCGACTTGTCTGAGTGCCCCCGTTGCCAAAACGAAACATCTCATTCTCCTCAGCAGTCATCAGCAAGGATTGGATGTGTTGGGGACACTTCTGAAGGGTCTGGAGGTAGTGCTGCAACCAAACATCACCAGCACAAGTGCGATTGCAGGCAGAGTCCAATGCACCCACAAGCACTTTATCTTTTGCAAGACCTGGGACCGATGGCTGCTCCTTCTTTGAGGACACCAAAGCTTCTACAAATGGAACACTATCATGATGCACCATCATCACCTCGTGGGAGTCATCGCCATCGTCCACAACGTGCTCGGTGTTCAAGCTTTCCATCACCTTCACATGTTTCTGCGGTGATGGAGGTTTCTTGGCAGCGCTCTTCGGCTTGAACAATCCGGCACCCGGTTTCTGACACTGGCTGTCACCACCCCAGTGTCCAAATTCGCCGCAGTCCCAACATTGAGTTGAGGTCTTTTTCTTCTGAACTTGATTGCCGTGGATCTTCATTTTGCTTCCAGCTCCAGGTCGGCCGAAACCACGATCCTTTCTGATGTCGTTGATGCGGGCTCGTGCTTCCCGCATAGTCACAAGGCTTTCAGCAGCCTTTTCCACTCCTTCCTCCAGGTTCTCCAAAATGGAGGGGTCGACATCACCACATTCTTCAAGTTCTTGGATCTCTGTTGCCAAAACTTCAGCCTCGGCTTGAAGCACCTCATCCAAACTGGGCAATGCGCCCTCTGCCGCATCATCAGGAAGGAGCTCTTCTTCCTGACCAGCATCATCCTCGGTGTCCTCAACCACATAGGCTTGACGCGCACTGCCAGCAGAGGATCCAGGTTTACTGAAACGATAGCTGCTCGAAGTCCGAAATGACTTCACTGATGCACCACTGTTTGATGAAGGCCCAGACCGAGTGCTGGCTGGCTGATTGGATTGCTGAAGGAACCGCTGCAAGGGATAGGACTTGTGGGAGTCAAAGGATTGGGGCTTTGATCTGTGCAAAGGGTCGGAAACATGCAAATCTCTGAAAAGCCTGAGCACTTCACCTTCCACATGGTCGTAATCCTCCCTGCCCCCCAAAGCCGTCTCCAAAAGCTGAAGACGTAGCGCATCAAGCCCAAGACGGTCCTTCAAGAACCACCCCAACTCAGCACCAGGCAAATGAATGCCCTCTCGCCGCATTTCGCCAGTGAGCGTACGATACCTCGTACAAAAGGCTGAGATCCTTTCACCAGGGCTTCTACGTATGGTCTGGTAGAACTGCTTCCTAAGTTCTCCTTTTCTATCTAGTTCTGTCTTTCCCATGCTTTCCTCCAAAGACCTCATAAGCTTTCTGAGTCCTGAGAAAGGATCGGCAGCTTGGAGAATCACATCTTCGCCTGATTCAGGGTCTTTGCCAATCACCTCGGCCGTGCCAACCAACTCAGATGGATCATATTCCTCACATCTTGCACGAACAACACCTGTTTGGCGAAGGGCCCAACGTGCTGCTATGTTGTATTTTCGGCTATGCTCTTGGTCTAGTGAGGCTATCCACCATTCCATTTCTCTCTTGAAACCCCTCCATTCACTGGGATCTCCTGACCACACTGGCACCCTGTACCAAGATGAAGTCCCTTTGTCCTCAGCGGCCATCTCTTCAAACACGCTGCAAGGGCCAAAATGACCAATGACGGGGCCAAAATGGCCAATGTTGGGGCCAAAGTGGCCAGTGATACACAACTCAGCAAAAAGAGCGGCCTAGTTGCCACTCAGCACCCTAGTTGGTGCAAAAAGGGTTCCAAAGCTTTGCCAATGGGCACCAATTTCCAGCCACAGCAAAAATCACAAAATCCGCAGGAGCAAGGACGTAGGGCCAGACAATGATTCCACTAGCACAACAATGAAAAAGGGACTGAAGGTCTCGGCAACAAGGATGTCTTAGACAGGGATGTAGAGACCAAGGTGCAATGCAAAGAACAGCGAGCTAATGCAATGCAGAGTGCGCAGCGCCGTAGAGCAGGTTCTGGATGCAAGGCTCCGGTGCCACTGAAATTGCCAAGACGCAGTCAAATGGCAAATGCAAGGCGACCTTTTGTCTTGCGAGGTCGGAGCCAGATGGCTTAGGCCTACATGCACAGATTTGTGCGTGTCATCCTGTGCAGGGGTCATGCTAATCTCATGCCAGCACATGTCTCATGGGTTTCAATGGCAAGCATTGGATTCTTCAACCTATCATCATCTTCGAGGCAGGTTGGTCAATGAACCACAGTGCCTTTGTGGACCTACGGCTGCTTGGACCAGCAAGGCTCTTCAAGGCTGTTGAGAACCAGCAAGAATCAGCAAGAGCTGAGTCTCATCGTGGTTTGAAATCTGTAACATGCTCAAGCAACATGTTCTGTTGTCTGTATACTGTGTATCACTATATCTATACTTCAAGGAGAGGCGAAGTGGAGATCCGATACAATGCAGCGTCATACAATCAATATGAGATTTCTCCATTGAAATATCACTCAAGGATGAAAAGAACATGTTTGAGACCTGCAGCCAAGATGCCCTTGGAAGCCATGGCAAAGCACGAACAAATGAACACCGCGGTACTGCTTGGGGGCCTCGGGAGGGCAGTGGAGGCGACCAGTTATTTTCACCCATTTCTCCCATGACTATACCAATGCGAGTGTGGGTCCAAATTGGGGACCCAATTTTGGGGGTATATCAAGGTATATCTAATCATGACTACTTGAAATTGATAAAATTCTCAGTATGGATTCCTCCCTAAGAAAAGGGCAAAATCTTCGAGCTTACAGAGCCTCCACTCAGCTCCACACCGATGGCACACGCGACTCCCACACACTGGGATGAGGTATGCCCTTGACGTCCTCCAAGGCCCCAACTGCCAGTCACACAAAGAAAAAACGGGCAGTCCATCCTACAATGGAGCCCTGGAGGCCCAATCGACTCAATCAACTTAAAGTCTTCACCCCACTGATGGCTAGTGGAATTGAATGACTTCACCACATTTACCACCATTTTTTTCTGCAGCTTGTATCATCACCAATCATTGTTGTCACCCCATCCAACAACCCCCCCCTAGGTCCATGCCGGCGACTCCCACGCATCGTTGGTCGAAGAGCACGGGACGCTGTTCGATGGACGGGAACAGTGTGGTATCCTGATGGCAGCGGGGTGGTCGACCAGAAACTCTGGTTGACATTTCAGTGGGGATTATAAATTTAACATAAAAATGGTGCCATGTATTCTATCTATAGAAATGTGTGTATAATGTATATTATGTATATATGTATACATAAACGTGCATATAGATACATATCTAGAGGTGTATGTGTATAAATATATATATATATATGATTCGATATGTATATATATATATTACTGTTATTTATATATAATATAAAGATCATAAACAAATGTGTATAATACACATTGAATTAGCTTTGCTGTACCATGACGTTGGTCTTCGAAAATGCTTCCCATCCTCGATGGACGCCAGCTCCGGGGACCGTGGCTTCACTGTCTTCCGCAGGTTCTCCTGCAGTGGCGCAGTGGCATCCATCCGACTCTACGGCGATGACAGGGACCAAGTCATGGTGCAACCAAGTAGCTGCCGCAGCAGTGTGAGCATCACCTGCTGGACTTAGAAAACTTAAGGGGAAAAGGATGCCAAGCTGGAAAAAAAATGGGATGTTTTTTTATGGAAACATGTTTGGGGTCCATTGGGATACAACATTTTTTTTTTCAAGTTACAAAGTTACTTATGGGTTGCTCAATGAGGGCGAACCAAATCGAGGCGCGGCTTCCTTACATGCAGAGTGTCTAACTGTCTAACTGTATAAGCATCAAAGTTGAAGAGCCAGGTGAACCGCAGATCCAAGTCTTCTGAAAATCAACAGTTTTTGCTGTCACAGAGCTTTCCACCGTTTTGCGATTTTCCCACTCTTCATCCCGGAGAACCACCAGTCGACCACCACTGTCAGTGGCGCTTCTGGCCTATGGATTTGTTCTCAGGCTCTGCCAAGTTGGAACTCATCTTCTCTCGAACAATCGAAAGAGACCACCTCGACACCACGAAAAACCCGTCATCGCATGGCGCAGAAATCCCTGTCGTTACTAGTAAGGTGGTAAAGCCAATGCCACCTACAGGGCCCTGCTTTTTTTTTAAGTACCAACCAAATGGCAAAATTGTGGTAAATGGGGTGCGATTTATTATTTATTTATTATTTGGTCTACCACATTAGTTGCTTGCGAGATGTTCGACATCCCCTTTCGGGAAATCCCTCCGACATTCGTTTTGTAGTAACTTTCTCAGGAACATCCATCAATCGTCCAATTGGTTCATTGGATGATGGATTTTTCTGAGTTTTAACCATTTGGGTATGGGTCAATACCTATAGATACATTTTTAGTGGGATGAACATCCATTTACCAGCTATTTTGGGGTTCACTAGGTACCAGGGTTTTGACCCATCCCCATTTTAACCCCTGTTGACACCTGGTGAAGATCATGATTTTCTGTAGACTTTCCCAGCAAAACCAATCCACGTCCTCCAAGTTCTTTCAAGTCGCTGGTCGATGATGCGCTCCTCCCATTGCGTGCGTAGCATTGAGGCAATCTCCCGATAGCAGAAGGCCACCACGTTCAGGGCCTGGTGCTGCTGGTTGGTTGAGATGGCCCAGAATGGATTGTGATATATATATATATATTGTATATACATGTGTATATATAATATCCGATCTCTATATACATTGTATATATATATATATACATATAATTATAACGGATGGTGTAACCACATACACATAATCATCAATCAACAGAGGCTTTGAACACTGCTCAGATGAATTCCTTCTCCCAGCCATGGCAGATTCTTCAAATGGTCAGGCGAGATTAGAGGCACCAACAGACTTGACCCGCAGTGAATCCCCATTTTTTGCTATGAAAAAACCAGTTAAATCTCCAGTTTGAATCAATTTTAGCTGGTCCAATCAAGTCCAATCCCCCATTTTCCATGCTTAAAATCCCCATCTTTTGCTGTTGAAACCACCCAAAAATCCTTCGCAAAGAATCAGTCCCTGAAACTCCGCCCCTCCTGGTGCCAGAGCTCCAGAATTTGACAACTCACAGCATTCAGGTCGTAAGCTAATAGCCTGGCAGGAATCAAAAGGGGGCTGGAAACTCCCCGACTTGCTGAAAGAAAACATGTTCTTTTTCATGGGGAAAATTTAATCTATGAATGGGAGTATAGACCTATAAACCTCCTTTTTTGTGGATGTTCAATTGCCATGGTTTGATTACCAAAGGGTAAAGGATTTCATGGAAACCGTTTGGGGTTGACACAGCTTTGTGCCTGGTTTCTTTGATGAGCGTAAGATAAATTCGGGGAGTAGTGAGAACCTCAGAACTGGTGGCCCACCTGGCCACTGAATGCGGAGTGAAGCTCTCCCCCGACCTCACAGTGACACAGAAATTGCCAGAAATTGAAGGCTTTCAACCTATCACAATACGGGAAACCCACAAAAACGGTGGACAAAGACCATCAAAAATGCTGCTTTCACCCCAAAAGTCGAGGCTGTAAGACTGAGTGACTAAGAGATGACCAAGTTTGCAGGTGCAGCTCAGCAACTCTGCGATTCTCGCAAGGATGCTCTCTTGCAACACCCGTTCCTGGGTCCACCATCCAGGAATCCAGGACTGGTCTGATCCCATTACCCTCCCGCAATCAAACGTGGCAATGGGAAATCTCCCAGAAATGGAGGTTTGGATGGGAAAATTGTCCTATTGCTGCTTACCCCATGTATGGATGGCCAACAAAGGCTACGCACCCCAGGTAACCCCAAGTTCTGCCCATGACTGCAGCGAGTCACACCAGTGGTACACTCAAAGCCAGCTGCTGGCTTCAAAGAACCTCATGGCCCCGGCCCCAGGGATCACTTGGTCATTACTGGATGAAGTGGACGGGGATGGATCACAACTTGAAGACGCAAACGCTCAAGTTTGGCACGTTTCCAATGTTGGGGCTACTCAATTGTGTCCTGGCTCCCTATATAGCTATCAGAAGCTACATATGTGTACGTAAATATATATATATATACAGTACATATTTATTTATTTGTTCATTTATTTATTTAGCATTGTTTAGCTATATACTCTGCTGGTCGAACGCTTGAGGACCTTATCCTGACCGGCTTTCATCAATTTCCAGGGACCCACACTGATGCCCGCCGTTGAGCCACTTGCTCGCACTCCGCCTAAGTCTCAGAAGAGGTCAATGGAACAGGACTTCCCCATGGTTTTGACTGGGTTTTGACTCTTCTCTTATCTCTTAATAACGTCCGGAACAAATTGGGATGTCTGAAAATAGGCTACCAAAAAAAAAATGATGGTTTGGAAATGGTTGGAACCTCATATTTTTCCCATTTCGATGGCCCATCGAAAGCTGCCAAGGTCCAGCCGGGTCCTCGCTGGGTCCTGGCACTGGGATTCGGCAGCTGCGGCATCAGCATGCCCTTTGGCAGCGTCAGGACCTCGTCAGGGCAACATTGGGCCAGAAATCTCAGCAACATGGAGCATTCGGCGTCGGTTCTGGCTCTGGTATGTTTTTTAATGGCCAGATGTTATACAGGCATCTCTTGTATTCAGCCAGTTTTGGGGGGTACAAATTCTGGCCCCCACATGGGAAGTTTTATCAGTGAGAATGGTTTTATTTAAAGTTAAAGATAATCCAAAATTAAGACAGCCAACCTTTTTGGACCTTTATAACTTCAAACAGGGGAAGAAGCCAAAAAATAATGCTTGATGATCCAGTGGGTGTGCCCAAAAGTAGGACCTACACGAAAACTACATCCCTTTAACCACCTCTGCATGTTTGACCTTGCATTCACACAGGCTGCACTGCTCTTGAGTCTGAGCTGTCACAAAAATTGTGTGTTCATGTATGTTATATCATGCTATCTTATCTTCTTATCCTATGTTATGTTGTGTTATCTTGTGTTCTGTCATGTTGAATTATGCTATGTTGTGTTATCTTATGTTATGTTATGGAATGTTATATTATGAAATGTACAGTAATGCAATGCAATGTAATGCAATGTCTGTCTGTATGTAAAGTACAATTACATACATACATCATAGGTACATATGTAACATACCATACATATATATATATATATATTATAAATATATATATATAATGGTGGTGGTTACATAAAATTCCATGATACTCACTCTCCAGCGACCTCTCCAGCGCCCTCTGAGTTCTCCAAACGTCGATTCCCAGATCGGACGGCACCACCACGTCACCGTCCTCCGTCCGACCGAAGAGGGCCTGCACGGGCGCATGGGCTGGACCCAGGGAAAAACATGTTGGATATGATGTTGGTATGGGTCACAAATTCTTAACCCCCCAATGGTGCCAAAACCCACAGCACTCTGAGAAGTGTATGTGCCCATCATTCCAAGAGCTTCACGTCGAACGGCTTTGACTCTGCCTCTCTCTGAAGAGGAGTGAGGCAGCGCTCACCTTGTCGCAGCTCAAGATCATCTACAAAACAAAGCATACCAAAGGAAAACATCGGGAAAAGCCATGGTTTTTCATTGGAATCTTCTTTTTTCCCACGCCAGGTTAGACTACCAAGCTCCAATCCATCATCATTCGACACGTTTCGGCTGCCATTGGAAGCTGCGGAAACTTCTGGGTATCGGACAGATGAGTTTGAACCATGCAGCTTGTTGCACATATGAGGAGGACAAAACACCAATGTGCCGCCTGGCGAAGCTGCAAACACCACGGGAATCATACCCTATGCGTGTGAACATAATGGATATCTATTTTATGTGTATAAAATTATATATTTATACATACATCTTTTTGTATTTATCCATGTATTGCTTTATTGGTCTGTGTAATGATATACACATTATGGAATGTATCTCGTTGTGTCCTTGATCCAACACACACGCCATCACCTTCGGCCATCAGCTGCCTGTAGAGGCCTTCTGCCAGCTGCATCAGCCGACTGTGTTCCACTGGTCTGTTGAGCTCCTGCCGGGGAAGTTTAAACCTTCGAGAACGGGTAGATTTTAAAAGCAAAAACAATGAGAAACTTAGGGACTTAGGGACCTCTCAATTGGATTTGTCTGAAAATTAGTGGAAAATATGGAAATCCACGGGTTTTTCCATTAGACGGTGATTTTCGGGGTAGTGTACCCCATTCATCCCCGTTCTTAGACACATCCAATTCATTGGTAGCACCCCTGAGTCTCCAATGTTTGGCCAGACCCAATGAATCATTGAGCTTGTATGTCATTGTCATATGAATCCCCATTATAAAATTGCTGGTGTCCTCCGTGTTGAAGGGTGGTCAGATCCACAAGTTTACAAGTTTGACCTATATTCCACAAAAAAAAGGTTACTGTTGATAAAATTCTCCCATGTTTGCCAGTGAAAAGGCTGCTTCAATCCACATTTATCCCATGATTTCCCCCCCTATTATCCTATGTATCTCCCAGGTCCCCACATCGGTCACGTCCCACTCTCTGCACCTCTGCAAACAGGGCTTCCGCCATGGACAAGGCTGGTGGCGGTGCGGCCTCAGGAAAAAGTAGGGTTTGACCCAAAAAATGGTGATGGATTGGGGTTATAAATCCAAGGGGATGGCAATAAAAACCAGGCTTTGCTGGATCAGGGTGTGGAAAATCCACCATGATTGTAGATCATTTTCTGGGGAAACCATGGAATTTTCTATATCGATTTTTGCAATTTAGTTTACTTCAGGGCTTCAGGGTAAAGCAAGAGTTGAGCAAGAAACTCCATTTTGGGATCGTGGATTCGAAAACTCATTTGCAGATCAAGAGGCTTGCCAGCTGGAGGGTGGGCGCTCCTGGGAAGGAATTTGACCAACACATCAATGCAGGGAGTTTTTCAAAAAAAAAAACGGATGGTTCAAACGTTCAAACAAAAAGTTGGTTTCAGGTCGGGAGTGGATTTTCGGAACCCCAAGGCTCCCTGCTTTTTTGGTCAAAGCCATCCCACTGAATCCCACTGCATCTCTGGAAAACCGACTCTCCTGATCATGATCCTCGGAGCCGTCATTGTTCAAGGACTTCTTTGAGTGCTTCACGACCTTGAAAAATAGCAGCCTTGAGCCCTCTGGTAACTACACTTGGCACTGGAAAATCACGCAAACTTATTTCCATTTTCTGATATACTGAGTTACCGGGTGATGTTTGTTGCCATGTTTTGCTTAGCAGAGGGTATCCATCCCATTTTCTCGATCAAATCAACATGTCTGTGTAAACATGTCCCCATTTCTAGATCATTTTCCCATCACCTCCCTGGATTTTTGTCCACTGAAGTGTCAGAAAACTCCCTTCCTCGGCTGGGCCAGAGCGACGGCTGGTAGGCCCACATCGCCCCCCCGGCTCTCGCCCCCTTCACTATCCTGTGCACAGCTCCGGCGCTCCGGCGGAAACCATGGTCTTTACCAAGCTCTGGTGCTTCAAAACTGTTGTAAACTCTGCAGATTCATAGACTGCTATAGTTGGGTATTTTGGGGTTACCCCAAAATAACTCTCTAAATCAAGTTGCTACCTTGGGGATTAGCCAAAAAAATGGTCAACACTACTATCATCATATCTGGAATCCAACTTAATTGTAAGGATATTATATATATATACATATATATATACATATATAGAAAGCTGATGATCTCTGCGACTGCGCCGCGGCTTTTTGCACCAGGGCACTTTCGTTACGGTCCTCAATCCGCCCACTAACGAAGACGGTGGCGCGAGTTCAGCACATCACTCCACAACTGGATCGCTCAAAGCAGCGGAAACACAAAGTCTGTTGGTGCGCTTGGTTGGTAAGTGCTGAGGACTCTCGAAGAATGTTTGAAAACGAATGTGGAAATTTGATGAAATTTGGCTGAGTGGTTGAGTCGGAAACTTCTAATGATGTGCCCTGCGCTTGGAGAAAAGGTTGAAAAAGCCACCCGTTTTTTCACGTGACCCGATCTAACCGCTACGCCGCTGCAGTCCCACCGTGGTTGACCTGGAAGCTCCTCATTTCTTCGACACGAACATGGCAGCCTGCAGTCTGGCTGCAGCCTTCTTGACCTGGCAGCATCCCTGTTTCTACACATGTTTGAACCATACTGAACCCCATCCCCCGAACAAATAGGGCCTGAAAGGATTCTCACCATCACCCTTTGTTTTCGGCTTCACCCCGTGAAAAAAATAGCTCCAAAACATCCTTCGGTTTCCATCAACCAACCCAGCACCTTGGCAGTGGCTTCCAGTTTGTCCTTCTTGGAATCCGCTTTCTCAAGCATTGAGGTGGCGCTGTCCATGTCGCTTTGGGCTTCCTTCATGTCCTTGGCTGCGGAGATTCACCACGACTGGTCATGGGGAAAAAAACGGCTGTGGTAGCGCAGACGAAAAGAAAGGTTGGTACCACGTAGTACTACGTCAGCGGGAAAAAAGTCTATCCTTATATATATATATACATACATATGTGTAGAGTCATATGTTGTTGATTAAATCATGCGTTTATTGCCTCGCGTTTTCGAACTCTCAAGCAAAGAGAAGTACATTTCGAGACCATCTTCCAAAGTCCCCACTCCCCTCCCACCAATTTGTGCTGGTCAAACCACCACGTTGTTTCTGTTAAACCGCCCGTAGCTCGTAGCTCAACATCAATCTCAACATGTTTTTCTCCAAGAAATCGATGGCCAATCCGGATTGAACCGTGCCAATAAACAATGCGTTCTCAAGATATCACCACATCTTTTATCCAAGTCTCAATGGACTCATCTTAAAACCCATCAACTTCGACCAGTTTTTTCCAAGTCTCAATGGACTCATCTTAAAACCCATCAACTTCGACCAGTTTTTTCCAAGTCTCAATGGAATCTGCCTTCTCAAAGTCATTCACCAAGACACTCAGCTGGTTGCTGTCCACCGTGGCGAAACCGCCCATGACCACCACGGGTTTCCACTTGCCGTCCTCCTTGAAGCGTAGAACACCGGTGTCCAGGGCGGACATCATGGGCGCGTGGTTGGCCAAGATGCCAAGCTGCCCCGTGGCACTGGGTAAAATCACCTGGGAAAAATGCCGAAATGGAAATGGGGAAAAAAGAAACTTGAATTTGAGATAATTTGAGTAGATTGGTTTAGCTTAATCCCAGCCCTGTAATATGTTTAATCCGCTCCAGTAGTATATTAGTATATAATACGGAGAAGTGTTTCATAGATAAACGCATTCAAGTGGCGTGGTAGCTACCATGCAAGGGAAATGGTGAGAAGCATTGGGCAGTGGTAAACGTCTTCTGCTGGTGGTTTGGATTGGTAACATTATGAAATCAAACAAAATATAGATCATCTAGATGACATGCTTGGATGACTAGATTGGGATTGCATGACCATTTGGGGTTTGTCTGAAAATAAAAATCCGCCCGCACCGAAGGTGCTGGGGCGTGATCGTCCGGATGGCACTCGTAAAAGGTTACAGGTTGGTCACCGAGTGATTTGGAAACTATAACAGCGGATTTGGAAACTATAACAGCGGATTTGGAAACTATGATTTGGAAACTATGATTTGGAAACTATAACAGCGGATTTGGAAACTGGGAACAGCTGAT